AGATAAAAAACAAAATTGTTACACATTCAAAAGTGCTTAAATTAAGATTTGAATAAATGATTTTCTAATTATATTTATATGTGTCGTAAAAAACGGTTATATCAATATTATAAACAGATAGAAATAATTGCATTATCAATTATTTCAAGAGTTTTCGTGCATTCAGCACCGCATATTTCGGGAAGTGTACATTTTAAAAATAATATTTCTTAAAACGCCGTTGTAGCGCCTTATATAATACATTTGAATCGTAATTGACGATTTACCTCATTGTTCCATTATTTTGGCCATAGCTCTGCATAATTATGGTAATTTAGGCAATCAACAAGCAGAGGTCACTTGGATTCTATCACCGCAGCAAACGAAAGCAACTTATTTACAAACAAAGGATATAAATACCGTAACATGTTGCCGTAAAACATAACAGGTACGTCGAAATCTAAATATCTAACATTTTGACTGTTTTTAGAATATTTTAACATTTCAAGAGAATCATGATCAATGAATCAAGATCGTGGGATGTGGCAAGAGGTCCAACGACAAAAGATTGGTTCTTAAATGATCAATGAATGGTTATAATCGCAGGACAATTCATACAGCGCCATCTAGTCCCAAGTTAAGCAGAGCTTGTTATGGTTTGGGTACTAAACTACTAGTTTAAATATATAGACACATTTTTCTTTTGTAAATACATATATATTCTAAATAGAAAACATCCACACCGATGGAAACAATCATACTCATGAATATCATGCGAATGCCATGTGAGGAATCGAACCTACGACCGCTAAATAAAAAAATGTAGTAATACTTGAGGTATGCTTTAGCATGAGGAATGCCATGTGAGGAATCGAACCTACGACTTTAATATACATTATATAAAAAAATGCAGTACTTGGGTATGTTTTAATATATGGGTATGCATAAAGAATAGATGCAAGAAATCGAACCTGCGAATATCGAATGTAAGGCGGTGTGCTAAATAAAAAAATGTAACAGTAAGTAAATGTATTGGTGGGTCCAAGTGCAGTGACGGCTTATGATCATTTTAGGAAATGTCTCTCTAAAACTTTAGCCGTAACTCGATGTTAGGCTAAATTAGACGTAAATATTTTATCAACAGGGTGCTACATAACTTATAACGGACTTGATGAAAACAGAAAGGTGTTTTTGTGAACTAAAACTTTAAATTTTCGCGACAATATGCAGTAAGGTTAAGAGAATGTGGCTCTTTATGTCTCGATATTATAAACTTTTTTGTATTAAAAAAAATGTTTTTTTTTTAGACATGATACTTAGTACTCTTCATGTCTCGACATTATAAACTTTTTTTTTTTAAACAAGACAGTTTTTTTGGAAATTATACTCGTTTAGATAAACCTGGCAGCATTGGGACCTAGTCGTTAACTATTTTAGATACACTAACTATAAATTTTAATATGTGTCTGTTTGTTTGGTATCTTTTCAAGGCGAATGAGCTGAAATAAAATCGCTTGTATCACGAAGGTGAGAGGCTATCTTTTATTTTAAATTAGACACTGAAGTTGATGATAGCACTACTTTAAATACTTTACATCGCAAGTTCGAATCTGATGAACACAAAAAAGATCATACATAAATTTTATTTCTAGCTGAAAAACCGATTTTATTTTGAAATACTGCAATGGTAATATTAAACCAAGTTTGTCTGAGAGAGGCTCACCTCTACGTTGAATTCAAATATTGAGAATATATTGACGTGCATTGGTACTTGCCTTGAAAAAATATTTTTAGCAATAAGACCGCCTTGTTGTTTTTATAATAAATTATACATATCTTCTATCTCTGCATAATACCAATAAAGCATATTTACCAGCTTCGGTGGTCTAGCGGTTTTTCAACACCGCTTTACTTCCGATGGTCGCAGGTTCGATTCCTGGCACGGTACCAACATTTGTATTCATGACTATGATTGTTTGTTTCGGCCTGGATAGATATATTATGTATGTATTCCTAAAAAAAGTATCTATGTATTTGTATCAGTTGTCTAGTACTCATAACACAAGCTATGCTTAGCTGTGGGCTAGATGGCGCTGTATGAATTGTCCACGAATATAATATTTGTAATATATTATATCTATCTAAAACTTATTTATTTAAGTAATATATTAAGTAATCTAAATATATATAACTCAAAGGTGACTGACATAGTGATCTATCAACGCATAGCCCAATCCACTAGACGGATCGGGATGAAATTAGGCATGAAGGTAGATGTTATGGCGTAGGCATCCGCTAAGAAAGGATTGTGATTAATTCAACCCCTAAGGGGATAAAATAGGGGATGAAAGTTTGTATGAAACTTTGTCAACTTTAAACCGATCGGGCTGAGATTTTGCATGCATAAAGGCATATGACGTAGGCATCCCCATAGAAAGGATTTTGATAAATTCCACCCCTAAGGGTATAAATTAACGCGAGCGAAGCCGCGGGCAAAAGCTAGTAGTTACTATAATTTCCTTTTATCCAAAACTATAACAAGTTCTGGTTAACTGCCAATAAACTATTAATTGAAAAGTGCATCGTAGTTATGAAATACGTGACGATTATACAATGAAGAGGCTTACGTGTTCCCGAGGTTTCCAGAAGATTTTAAATCAAACATGAGTTTCAATATTATATTATTGGGTGGAGTTTTGCTATGGTTGAACCATATAGCAATGGAGTAAGAATACAGATTTTTTTTATAGCACATAGGTGGCAAGCAAGCATATGGTCCATCTGATGGTAAACGGTTACCGTAGCCTATGGAGCGCGTTGCCGACCCTTAAGAAACCGTAATAGAATAGAATAGAATAGAAATAATCTTTATTCAAATAAACTTAATATAAGCACTTTTGAAAAGTCAAGTTTTTTGATTGTAAGCCCATCGTGATAACTTAGCCAGGAGTATATCATGATGATTTCAGGCGAAACTGCGTAGAGGTCAACTTTTAAATAAATATTGAATGGGGTCAATATTTAATATAACAACAAGGCTTCCCCGCAAAAATGTGACATTATGGGGCCATTCATACATTATGCCACACTAGCTATGCCTGCGGATTCAACCGCATGAAATTTATAGACTACGTATTGTTATTCTGATGTATAAGCTATATTATATCTTAATTAAAATCCATTTATTAGTTTCTGCGTAAAAGAGTAACAAACATTCATTCATAAGTATGTCTCTCGATAAACTTCGACGTTTGTAATATTAGTAAATCTTTAAGTGTACCAGTAAAGAAGATGTTAAAGTGAGACATTGTAGGACAAGGGTGGGAGAAGGGGGAAGTTATGTAACATTACTTCTGAAGGCAAATTTTTTACCAAATTATAATTCTGATTGATGTCATTTAAAAATGTTAAAAAAATACTTATTGTGAATTTGTAATACGTCTGTATTGGTTTTGCTATTATTAATTTATATTTATGTACTTAAATACTTACTATATTGTGAAACTGTTTTATGCCAAATACAATAAAACAAAAATTCCAATTTAATTTTATTTGACTCGAGGCTTTATATATCCTTGACATTTTTAATGAAATTAAACATTTCATTGTTGAGATTTAGTTTTATATATTTTTCATTTAATTTGCTTATACTTAATCAAAAAATGTTTCTTAAAATGTAACGTTACAAAAAAAGCTTCTACTAACCTTGTTTATCTGTGGATGAGCCTTAATAATGGTATAAAAATACAAAATTTTATGAAAAGCAATCTCTGCGTTACTAGTAATCTTATTGATTTTTATAAGACTCGAAATATATACCTAACATTTTTAAATGACATCAATCAGAATTATAATTTGGTAAAAATTTGCCTTCAGAAGTAATGTTACATAACTTCCCCCTTCTCCCACCCTTGTCCTACAATGTCTCACTTTAACATCTTCTTTACTGGCCCTTAAAGTCTTACTAATATTACAAACGCGGAAGTTTATAAGTCCATACTTATGAATGAATGTTTGTTACTCTTTTACGCAGAAACTAATAAATGGATTTTAATTACACTTTACAGTAATATAGCTTATACATCAGAATAACAATACGTAGTCTATAAATTTCATGCGGTTGAATCCGCAGGCACAGCTAGTGTGGCATAATGTATGAATAGCCCCATAATGTCACATTTTTGCGGGGAAGGGGATTGTTAGTTATATGGACTATTGACCCCATTGCTAGCAATGTACCATGTCAAGTTGACCTCTACGCAGTTCCGCCTGAAATCATCATGATATACTCCTGGCTAAGTTATCACGATGGGCTTACTGACTGTATTCATCTTATCATCCTCCACTGGGTCCCCGCCAGCATAAACTGTTACCGGTGCACCATTTATTTATCATATATGACAAAATGACACACTTCTCCATGCTTATTTTTTATTATAAATGAGTTTGCGCGTAATCTCATTTCATCTGGTGGAAAACGATCGCAAGACCTAGGATGACGTTTAGGTCCAGGTCCAGAAGAAATCTATTCACCATACTTATAGACTTGAACAATCCAGACTTGTATTTCTCCGGGAACACGAAAGCTGGAAATGTATTCCACTCTTTAGCAGTGCGTATTAGAAAACGACACTAACAGTTCAGTGCGGATATGTGGAATTTCCACGACATAGTAGAATAGAAAATCATTTATTCAAATAAAATTAATTTAAGTACTTTAGAATAGTTATAAGAACTTTTTTTAATCTACCGCTCATTCGGAAAGCTGTCTCATCGCAAGAACGAGCGAGAAATTTGTGTGTTGCTCTTTTAAATAATCCTTGTGAGGTCACATTTTTCAAGTCAAAACGTCTGAATACAAACATAAGGATGGAGTACTAGTGATCGCCGTATAGTTGAATGATAGAACGTACTCTCCTTAAAGTTTAACGTCAGATAAGAATGGTCCCAAATGGAGCAGCCTGTATATATATTTTTTTTATTTAACCGTTTTATAAACATGGTACATGGCATCGGTCGTACAGAAACGCAGTGGGTACACGCCGGTGTCCACGGCCGTTTCGATCCCAGCCCACTCGTACACCAAGTTCATTTACACAAAACTCAAGGTAAGCTGTTCTAAGTATTTTACGGCGGTGTCGGGTTAATAATTAACCTCTAAAAATAATTTTGGAGGTAAACGAATATTACTTTCTCTTGATTAATATTAAAATTTATAATTTAATATAGTAACTTTACATTTTAATTAAGGAATAGGTATTCCCAGGACTTGCGTTATATTCGTTAGTATAAGAGAGCGCAAGATCTTACTAGTGCGCCGTGGAATTCGTTAAGAATAAACTTATTATAAAATTCTCGTGTCTCAGTGTTAGTTGCCGTACTTCTCCGAATATATTTTAATGAAGATTTATATGTATTCTCCGAAGGTCTCAGAATAGGTTGTATTCTGTTTTCATACCTCTATAAGTTATAAGGGTAAACCCCACACCTAATTCTTTTTGTGTCAAAAATTTCAATTTTATATATCTACATACTATGATAATTACATTAAGAATACATACAACCATAAGTTTTCAAACTTCTACCATAACTCCTATTTTAATAGCGATATTAATTAATACGACTAAACAACGTTTGCCGGGTCAGCAAGTAGTTTGTAACTTTTTTGTTTGTATACCGATTGCAATAAAACAAATATGAAATATTGAGCAAGGTTAAGTTAATTACCATAATATATTAGTGAAAACAGAACAAACATACAAAAATTACAACAATCGTTGTTTCGGGTTCTATTAAGTTGATTGAGTCTCTCAATAGTAGATTTTCTCTTATATCTTCCATCAGTTACATCTCTAATAGATGTCTAGTCGTAACAATAATGTTTTATGTTTTTATTGGAATCAATTGAAATGAAACAAACATTAAATGTTACAAGAAGCCTGTTCTAATATATCAATAACCGGATTCAAATCGGTTAAGTCTTTTTTTGAGACAAACGTCTTTTTGTCGAATGCCACCGCTGTTGGCCGCAGCTGGACTATATAACTTCACTGGACGATAAGGGGCGAGTGCAGATGACACTCCAAACCCGCGGAAGGACTTATGGAGCGGCTGAAGGTCAAGTCCTGCCTAGGAGGAATAACGTACACACATAAATATAGAAATATGCAAAATTCTAAAATATTTTTTTGACAAAATTAGTAACTTTTTTATAAATATATGTAATGCTCTTTTACAATCTAATTAAAACTACATATCAGTACGTACCTACAATATGGACTATATAACTTCACTGGACGATAAGGGGCGAGTGCAGATGACACTCCAAACCCGCGGAAAGACTTATAGAGCGACTGAAGGTCAATTCCTGCTTGGGAGGAATAACGTACACACGTAAATATAGAAATACGCAAAATTCTAAAATATTTTTTTGACAAAATTAATAACTTTTTTATAAATATATGTAATGCTCTTTTACAAACTACATATCAGTACGTACAATACTTCTGCTATGCTAAATAACGTGTAATGAAGGGTTGAAAGGTTTGCGGTGATGCCTAGCTTCAAAGACTTGCTGACAAGAGACAGAAGCGCCAACTAGGCGGCTCAGTACCGACTACTGCCAATAATTTCTATGTCGAGCCTGTGGTAGGCCATGCCGCTCTCGTATCGGTTTATACAGCCACGAAAAAAGCTGTTCATGGACCATTACGACATAAATCGTCTATAACAGACGCATAGGCCATTATTATTATAGTTTTATAATTAAATAATAATACAATACAATAACAACTAATGAAAATTTGTGCAGAAGAATTTGTTCAAACTTTCAGTACTTATTTCACCCCTTCCAGATGATTACTTTATGTCATCATCATCATCATCATCACAGCAGACGTCCACTGCTGGACATAGGCCTCCCCCAAAGATCTACATTTATATAGTTTTGTTTAATTCTGCTACGATTAGCATGTGTTAACAACAAATATTCATTCAGAATACCTGACCACCGCTACTGGTAGTATTTCTAATTTATTTATTGATGACCAAAGTCCAACTGTTATTGAGTCTACACCCATATTGCGACACATGTTTTACCTCTAAATGGGGCATCATGAATCATTGAATAGAGCTCGGATATAGCTTGGAAGCCTAGTGTTTTCTGTTCGACCATCAAACCATGATTATATCAGATTATTTTTTGTGATAAAATAAATTCTATACTTCGTGATACAATCTGTCTTCATGTCAAATTTCATAATGATATCTACAAGAATTTAGTCGTGACAAAAAAACAGATAGACATACCTTATTTTATAATATTGGTCCGGATAATAAGGATCCTTGTATTAAATACTCGTATGCCGAGATTTTCTTGCGAGACTACAGCATGTGGTTTTTCAAGAAGGGTATATTAAAGTTTCTTAAGGATGAACAACGCGCACGTGACAGCAAACCGCTGGTGTTTCGGGAGCCCATAGGTTGTGATTCACCACTAAATGACTTGTTTGCCACCACCCTGGTAAAAAAATGAATACTTTAGTGTCACATAGTTTTGAATATAGATTGATATTTTAAATATTCTTTATTGCACTTAAATTAATTTGTAAGTATATTAATTACAGCTAATGTTAACAAAGGAGGACTTATCTCTAAATGAGATGTCTTCCAGTCAACCCAATAGAGCGTGGCATAGGAAGTGTTGAGTGGGTTAAAATGTGCAAAAAATATTTTTTATAAAAATGTCAAAAATAATTTAAGAATATATAAAATTTGGCTACCACGGTGATCGCCTGTTTAATACACAGATTTGCATCCGATGGTCGCGGTTTGTTTCCTCGTACGACGCAAACATTTGCGTTCAAGAGTATGATTTTTTGTATTAGTCTGAGTGTTGTCTATGTTGTATTTTTTATATATACTACGACAGTGGCATTCAAACATACATCCCATCTGATGGGTATATATTTACAAAAAGAAATGTGCTTATTGCTTAAAAGAATTAAAAAAATGTTTCGATCACGTCTGCTTTCATACGTAAAGTTCAATCCATTCGTTTCGGAGCTACGATGCCCCGGACGGATACACACGTCAAACATTGCGTCAGGGTCGCAAGGGTTAAAAACCAGAATTCAGTAACGAATAAATTATAATAACATCCAATCAACAATAATCTACGATCTATTGTAAAAAGAATAAAGTGAGAGATATTTACAATATCTTTTATTTTTTCTGAATTTCATAATTATGTAAATTAATAGTTATATACATATTTATAAAATCAAATGTATTAAGTTTTTTTTTAGTTCATTTTATAAATTCAATATATCTTCATTCCTGTAGGTCTATTACAGACTCTTATGATATGTCAAATGTCTAATTCTATAAATCAATAGATATATATGTATCTCATAGGCACTTACTAGTATTTTAATAGTATTTGTCAAACATAAATTAATGCGAATAATAGTTAATATACCGTATGTATATATTATATATCATTTAAAAGTAGGATTTTCTGTATGTCAATGTCATCACAGAAGACCGAAAAACTAGCAGATACCTCGGATAAAGAATTAGTTTAGCCATTCAAAGCTGGAACGCTGCCAGTATCTTCGGAACCTTGCCTAAAGGGACTCCTTTTAATAATATATTTTAGTTATTATATAATTTTTTAAGGTTGTATAATTAAGTTATGTATAAACAATGTTACGATTGAGTGCTTAAATATAATTTATATTTATTTATATAAATATTCTAAATTTACTTATTATTATAAATTGTCATTTAAATGACATAAATTAATAGTTATATATTTATTGTTATTTATTCATATTCTCATAGGCACTTACTAGTATTTTAATAGTATAAATTAATGCGATTAATAGTTAATATACCGTTCAGTAAAGGTCAATCCCTGACATTCCAATTGAATTCAAAGTGTTTTGTTATTGTAATGAATTCATTTCATTCCGTAGCCTAAACGATCGTTCAACTGGAATTTTTAATTTTGTTTTATTTATCAGTGTTATCTATGTATATATTAGGTATAGGAAACAATGAATAAAATTTAAAAAAAACTTATTTGGTTGTATAGGGCATAGTTTAATATTAAAAAAAAAATGTACTAACAACTTAGACAAAGAACATTTCACATACAGTCTTGTATTATATTCTTTTTGAACACACTTGCTCGTTGTGTGGATCTAATTTTACCAGTTTTCGATATATAAACAGGTCATAAAATACGCGTGCGTTATAAACGCAAATAGTGAAGTTATATTCCATAAACGCAGTTTTATGCTTTTTTTTATCTAATTTCGAACTAATCACAATCCGTAAACAGCGCAATGATTTAAAAAATAAAACGATGAGGAAGCAACAGTGCGAATCACAGTTTTATGGTTGAGTTTATTTAAAATAAAAAAAAATCTGTTTACATTATACTACTCATCTGCCGCCTATCAAGATGTTTCGTCGTCTTCAACAATTACCGTAATCCAAAATATCCAAAACAATGACATTATTAATAATAATAACATTGAGCAGCAAAACGAAAACTGTCATGTAACATGTTTACATTATTATGTTAATTCTAAATTTAAATGAACAAAATTAAAAATATTAATTGGAGAAAAATATTTTGGCGCGCAAATTTGAATTTTGTTATTCTAAATTTATTGGAGTGGACATATTCAATTAGACCGTTACTAGTAACAAAATATTATTTTTCTATGAATCTGTGTAACCAATTAATTTTCAGCATGGCCTATGTGCAAGCAAAAGTTTCATTTTAACGTTATATATAAATCATCACATTTTTTGTGTGAAACTGATCAATTCTTTTTAAAACGATTATAGATTCATTACAGGTAAAATTTTCATTAGGGCTGTGCCAACTTTTATAAAACGAAGTGTTAATTGCTCTGCAGTTTTATATATTTTTTTTTTGGTTGATAATGGAATGGTGCATCCGCCTGCGCTGACGGTTTACGCTGGCGGGGCACCAGTGGACGATGATAAGATAATCATGAGGATAGGTCAGTCAACCCGTCGGCAAATTCACGAGGAATTTATCACGATGGTCCATTGCTAGCAATTTTGCCAAGCTGAAGAGAAAACACCACAACACATTCTATGTAGTTGTAGCCCACTCATGCATAAACGACATGCTTTGGAAAGTATACACTATATCCTGAGGAGATAAAAACCATCGCTTTCAAGGATATCCTTCAATTCTTGTCCCTGACGGGTCTAGGTTGCGAACTTTGAAAAAGGGCGAGCACAATAGATCTATGTAGGTCGTAGTGCTACAGGACATTGCATCTGACAATAGCCCAAAAACAATAAAAAAATGGAACTATAACTCCACATTAAGATGAATCAAGAATCCTCTTCTCTGATGATTCACATCGATAGTATTATTATATATATTTTTATAAATAAAGAAGTATATAGAAGTGTTTTTACCTTTTATCTACTTTGTTTTCTAGATGGCGCCTACTTACGTCGCTGAGGATAGACTAACATCAGGACACCGGCTGTCCCACCCACCCCCCGGGGAGGAGGTCTGCATCACCGGGCTAGCCGGATACTTCCCTGATTCCGACTCTGTGATGCATTTGCAGGAGAATCTCTTCAATAAGGTACTTATTCACTAACATTATCCTAAATTAGTCGTAATAGCTTTTTTTATAGAAACACAATCGACATGCTGCTACTCAGCATGGTTACAATTAAATTATTGTAGTGAATTCAATTTTTTTAAATAAAGTAAATTTATTTTTTAGGTAAAGTAATTTCTTAAATGCTGAAAAAATTTGTATTAACCTTATTTTTAAAGCTCATTAATTAAAAACAAATAATCTTTTTACCTTCAATACAATCTTAATATAGTTTGTTATCGGTGTTTTCATACTAACAATTTCAGTCAGATAAAACACACTAAGTTTCTTGGTGTTTGACAAATTCGAAATTAAGAACTTTAGGTTCTATAAGGTTTACCACCATTACGGTGGTAAACCACTCAATTACTAGATTAGATTAAAGTTCCGATGTTATAAAAGATAACTATAAATAATGAATACGTCATTCCAATGACGTCATCAGGTAGATTTGATCACGGACGACAATCGGCGTTGGAACCTGACCCATCCTGAAATTCCTCAACGTACCGGCAAGATCAACAATGTGAACAAGTTTGATGCCTCGTTCTTTGGAGTTCACTACAAGCAGGCCCACACGATGGACCCGATGTGCAGAATTCTTCTTGAGAAGGCATACGAAGCTGTTATTGATGCCGGTAAGTTTTTACACTATATTTTTTCCCAGAAGTAGACTTTAAAAAGTCGTCTAAGTGGGTACTTCAGTCTCACCTATTTTAGCGTTTGTAATCGAACTATTATAATGGCCGCAGCTGACCTTAACATCTTCGCCGAACGATAGGGGCCAAGTACAAGTTATACTCCAAACACGCGGAAGGACTTATGGAGCGGCTGAAGGCCAACTCCTACCTGACGGATACGACTTTAGTCTGAGAGGGCACCGCTAGGGTTTGAACTTCGTATTTAGACCGTCGTATCCTTATTTCAGTAATCAAGCAGCTTGCTTTATAAATTGTGTTATGGTTATAGGGTTTAGGTACATTAGGCCTTGAAATTACTAAATAAGATGCAATCTTAGCCATCTTATTGACATTTTAGCTCTATAGAATGACAACGCATGAGTGGTGTCGCGAGTCTCACATGTTAATGTCCTTACTGTTATTCATGTAACTGTATACAGAAAACAATTAACGCTACCTTCACGTGAGACCTAATCTTGTTTATCGTCCCAGCCAGTAAGAAAATCTATTTTGTTCTTTATAATTAAATTAAAGATAAATAAGTATTTTTAATTAATTGAATATTCAACATTTTAGTGTAATTTACTATCGTCATACATTATGCATTGGCGACACATTAAGTCATGACTAATTAAGTACCTATTTTAATGCTCGCACAATCGAAACTTCCGATTTGATTTTGATTCTATTCAAAGTCCAAATGAAAATAATCTATTCATATAAGACATTTTTGTTTTAAATTCATCATCATCATTATTATCATCAGTCCACTGCTGCACATTGGCTTCTCACAAGGCACGATCTTTAGCCCTTCTCGTTCAGATATAACCCGCAAGCCCACATATGTCGTCACTTCACCCAGCTGTGGGGCATCCTAAGCTACGTTTCCCAATTCGCTGTCTCCACTTTAGATCTCTCTAGAATACGTATTATTCAGAACTTTATATCACTATTCCTACCGTCCATTAGTTGTAATCTCTACTAGAATGTGAATATGTATATGAAATGTGACGAAAAGTTACCACGTAGGTATGTTTGTAAACTATAACGTGCCGCTTACTAATTTCTCAGTTTGCTTTATGGTGGACTGGTACACGCTCTTAGGTGTTAAGTTCGCCATATATTGTATTTGGGCATTAAAGTTTTAAATAAATAATATAGTTTTCAACCCAATACAAATTTGTATTCTTCATAGAAACGTAATGAAAGGCAGTTCAACAGTCCATTTTGTTTGTTATCAGTTTTCCATCACCGGATATTAGTCAAAAATGTAACAGAAATGAGCCCGACTTTTTAAAATTCTCAGTAAATTCTGACCTTTTGTTGTAAGCCCGGGTAGTTAATCTCCAGGCCACAACGCTCTCAAAAATCCAATATTTGCTATAAACACGTGGGCAGCTACTGTTAAAAATGGAAAAGGTAATTCACTTAAAATATAGCTCCGTTTTGCTTTTACCCGTCCGTTTAATGAACGCCATCGATATAATTTCGATCAAAATTCCTTCTGTTACACCGTCACTGACAGTTTCAATATCTGTAACTTTTAAATGATCTAGGTATTTGAAGTGATTACTTTTTATTTTCATTTTCCTGTATTATTTACCAAACAATAAATCTTGTATGAAAGTGTGTACTTGTATGCGAGTTCAATATTATCTCCCAGCTAAGCTTAAGGCAAATTCAGAAAGCCTCATTACAATATTAGTTTTCATTTAACGTTTTTCTATAAAATATAAAATAGAGTGTTATTTATTTCTTTTATTATCAAGATCTTCTTGTATTAAGGATATGTTTTAAATTAATAGCCCAGCTGAGAGGCTGATAGCGTAGAATAGAGTCCAATTTACATTGTATTTTAAGTTACCTAACATTACAATACCACTTATATAGCGTTACAGATTGGTGTAATTTATACGCAGTGTAGAATAGAATTTAGACGGATGCCACTTACTTTCTTTGTCAGTAATGAGGCAATTTATCTGATCAAAAACTCGGGAGCTTTTGGTCAAATTAAATTTGTTACATTCATTGGGCACTCTCTATTTCCGCGACATTCTTTTCAAGAGCTGAGAATTCTAAGGAATTTTATAATATAGGTTACGACCTTACCTTTTGGAGTAGATAATTTATCAATATATTTAAAACTTTTATTAAAAAACTTACTGAGCAAAGCCTTATTTCTAATCTAACCGATCTAAACGATTACGTTAACGACAAACATGTACAGGATTTCAAGTATAATAGTTATATAATTAGGTGCACTTAATAGATAAATAATGTTAATAGATTGATTTTTAAACGAACAATAGTTGTGTTTCTTGTTAGTTTTTCTAAACTAATAGTGTCACCTGAACTAACAATAACTAATGAACAAAATAAAAACTGACTTGTATTGATGACTGTGAGGGAAGTTACCTCCGAACTTCTCACTTTAACAGAGTAACTAGTGGTGTACAAGTAAATAACGTAGGGCAAGAGATAAACAAAATATATTCCTGAAGAAGATAAGAATTAAAATACATTTATTATTACGACATACAAATTACGGATACATTAATATGAAGTCATACAAGAAGACCATACATTCTCTTTTTCATTCAAACATACTTCGTCTGCTATACCCGCCAGTCTACTCATCGACGTCAAACCTCGTTCTAACAACGACTATACTGTCCTGAATTGAGTAAATACTTTTAAGTTTAACAATCTTTACTAAGTTGATTATAAATCTAAACAGAATATAGAACACCATCGCTTCATCGTGTCCTATCCATTAATCCATCAGAATAGATCCTAAAATATTCGCATGAAGGATTCCTATTGAGCTTGCTGACATGTTTGTGTATTTAGAGAGAATTTACTGCATAGAGAACGTGAATAGAAGAGAGAATAAATGGATTTATGGAATATCATTCAATGGAGATGATGTTAGTAGCAAATAATTTATATGTCTTATACATAGCTATATCAAATTCTCGTGTCACAATGTTAGTAACTATACTTCTCCGAAAGGACTTAACCGATTTTTATGAAATTTTATATGCATATTCAGTAGGGCTGAGAATCGGCTACTGTCTATTTCTCGTACTACTAAGTAATAAGGTTTGTACAGCCCTAACAATTTTTTTTATAATATGACATTGAAAAATACATACAACCCTAAATGTTCATCCTTCCATCACCAACCCCTATTTTTAAATAGCGATTTTAATTTATATGGCAAAACATTTTCAGGGGTTTTTCAGCTAGTCATTACATAGTATAAAACAAAGTCGCTGTCGTTGTCTGTCCGTCCCTATGTATGCTTAAATCTTTAAAACTTCGCAACGGATTTTGAAGCGGTTTAATAGACAGAGTGATTCAAGAGAAAGGTTTATTTGTATAATACATGTACACCCGTGCGAGGCCGGGGTGGGTAGCTAGTATTATATATAATGCAGAGAGTTATGCCCTCAATCGGAAATACGAGTAGCGTAATGTAGTATAGTGGGGGGAAAGAGATTGTTAGTTATGGGACCTATGACTCCATTACAAGCAATGTACCATGTTAGGTTGACCTCCACGCGGTTCCCCCTGGAAACCATCGTTATAAATTCCTGGTAAATTTGTCACGATGGGTTAGCTGACCTGACCTCATGTTCATCTTATCATCCTCCACTGGTGCCTCGCCAGCGTAAACCGTTAGCGCAGGCGAGTGCACCAATCCATTATCATCCCTTAAAAAAAAATGTAGTATAGTAGGTATAGTACCTGATAAACTTGTACGAATAGGTTAACATATAATGAGGAAGCACAAATAGTCTATACGAATTAAAGCATTTGTCGTTATATTGTCTTTACCAATAATGACCGGAGTGACGTCAAAGCATGTATATGTTTTATTCATGAGTTCAAAGTCCCATGTTAGAGCAAAACAACTTAGAACTTTCGGTAATGGTTACAGTCAATGTTTTGATTAATTAAATGTTAATGTTTTTTTGGATGATGATGCAATGGTGTTGATGCATAATGTTGTACGTTGGCGAGATGTTATGGATGATAATAGAAAGAGAAGAAAATCATATCAGTCAGTAATATATCCTTTAAACAAAACACATCATATGAAGCAAGCTGATTGGCGGCTGAAATACACGAGACAGAGGTGCCCACATATACACCATTGTTATAAAACAACCCCTCGGTAACAGAAATAAAAATAGTCTAACAAACTTTTGACTAGTCATATTTTTTTTATTCTACCACTCATTCGGAAAACTGACTCACTCAGATCACAAGAAGATTGAATAAAAAACTTGAGTATTGCTTATTTAAATAAATGTTGTTCAGAATTACATTTTTAAAAATTCTGTGTGAATACAAACTACCAAATGGCAAATGTGACATAAATAAATTAATTACTTGAGTAACAAAATAAGTCAGTTATATTTATCAAAGTAAATCAGTCCTTATAAGCAGTCGTTCAAGTCTAACATATGCAGGTATATACTCTTATGTGTCTTAAATAAATTATTTGAATCCGAAATCAAAACGAAACAAAGTGCTAAATAAAGGTCAAAAGACTACAACATCAATAAACTCTGAATACGAAATGAACAAAATTTAAATACGGGTAGCGGCCAAAATGGTTGCAGTGACAATATTGAGTTATAATTACTCCAACAGAGGAAAGTTTTAATGGATTTTGAGATAAGAGACTCTTCGCATACAATCTACAGGAATAGAAAAACGTTTTTAATGTAAATTGATCGGATATGTCTAAATCTACTTCATAAATATTATTATATTAATAAATAACCATTATCGACAATGTTACTAATATTTTAATAGTATTTTATCGCACAACAAAACTTAAAAACAATAAAGCAATAACTTTAATTAATTAAAAACAATGTGAACAAAATAAAAATTTAAAAGAGATATTTCCTTTCGACAAAATGTAAAGCATATGATAGTCACTACATTCTCTCTAATTTGATTTAAAAGAGAATCTATTATGTAATCAAATACAAACAGATTTGAAAAGAAAAAAAGCCGACTTTCTTAGCTTATATATATATTCTATCTTATATTATAGTTATCATATACCTAGTTATTTTTAGCTCGAAAGCTACGGAGGGCTTTCTGATGGTAGATTTGACTTTTTTACTTTTTCGGACTACTCTAATGCTGTTGGACGCAGCTGGTCTTTACAGCTTCACCGGACGATAGGGGGTGATTGCAGATAGCACTCCAAACCCGCGGAAGAACTTATGGAGCGGCTGAAGGCCAACTGCCGCCTGACGGATACGACTTTAGTCTGAGGGCACCGCTAGGGGTTCGAGCCTCGGCTCTGACCGTCGTAATTTCGATCCTCGTTTGAATTGGACAGGGAATCGATCTTCTTAGCTCAAAAGCCCTCCGAACTGATGGTAGATTTGACAAACTATAAGAGTCTGTAATAAACCTACAAGAATAGAGATATTTTGATTTTGATTTTTGTTATCAGGTATGAACCCCAAAGAATTGCGTAACACTAAAACAGGAGTGTTCGTTGGAGCTTGCTTCTCTGAATCGGAAAAGACATGGTTCTACGAGAAGATGCAGGTGAACGGCTTCGGTATTACTGGGTAAGTTCCTTATTTACTAGAATCCTATATACGGGTACTAGGAAACATTTCGACGTGTAAACAGAATTACTAATAGGAGATTACCATATATCATCCACGTAAAGACCTCTTCTAATTTATATATTTCTGTTTCCAAGCAATATGCCGTATTCTGGTTTGAATGATGAATAACGAATCCCAATAGTAGTATTGTAGGACAAAGGACTTAAACAGTTATAATCTATTTCTTAGCTTATACATAAGCTAAGAAATAGATTTTTATCAACCTGCCTATGTGGCAGTGAAGATACTAGGTACGGAGGTATATCAAATTCTCAGAATTGGTAACGCATGATTATTACACATTCACTGTCTAGTTTATAATGTTCGTGATGCTCTTCATGACTTTAGACGACGATATCACTTTTCGTTATCATTAGATATGCAGTTGTCTCTCATTTCTATTACATAAAAATAATCATTGATAACATATTCCAAAAACAATTGTCAGTATCCTCATAGATAGCTGAGGAATCCATCTATGAGGATGCTAAGGATGCTGCTTAATTGTTATCCTAAATAACAATTCTCAGCATCTGATAATGATTCTCAGAACACTGAGAATTCTTAAGTTAACAGAGACTGAGAATTGTTATTTAGGACCACAATTCTCAGTATCCTCATTAATCTAATTACACGATTTCTTTTCCTTACTTGCAGATGCTCTCGTGCTATGTTAGCTAACCGTATCTCGTACTGGCTTGGAGTAACCGGTCCATCGTATACTGTAGACTCTGCCTGCTCTAGTTCATTGTACGCCTTGGAACATGCATTCAGAGCCATCCGTGATGGCCACTGCGACGCTGCTTTGGTCGGCGGATCCAACTTGTGTCTGCATCCCTTCGTATCACTGCAATTTTCAAGGTAGCTATTGTACATTTTTTTACTTCTATTGTTAAAAAGAAACCTGGTAAGTCATAATAAAAATAATTTATACTTAAGATATTACATATAAGATATGTTTGCCATCCCTATTAAGATGATCTATGAGAACTGGTAAGTAACTCCAAATGGTAGATTTCGGTTTATTATTTCAATAATGGACCAACAACTAAGTAACACCATTTTATTACAGATTGGGTGTACTGTCAGCTGATGGTCGCTGCAAGAGTTTCGATAGCAGTGCCAATGGTTATGCTCGTTCTGAAGCTATTGGAGTCTGCTTCTTGCAAAAAGCGAAGGACTCTAGAAGGTAAATTATCAATTCCACTCTCTCCAACATTTACTACTACTACTTACTATAGTACAACTTCCATAGCTTCATTTGCTACATATATCATAAAATAATAGAGAGCATGACTTAGTTCGAGGTAGACTTATTACAAAGTCATCCATGTGGACACCACTGTATTACCTACTTCGACCAATAAGCAGTTTGTTTTGTTCGTTCGATGATTCGTTTAAAGCATCAGGCAGTTAAATTACCATGTACGGAAGTATGACATCATAATCTGCCGTAATGGCAACAATGATCTCCGCATTGCCATTCGAAGTACTGGATATGATAATGTTCCTAAGCTATTCAAGATTATGAACGACGACTTCCACCAAAGTTGCCCGTTTGCCAATCCAGTTATATTAAAAAAACAGCATCATGCTATTGCATATTGCTACAGTGTTTTGAATTTTTTCTTAACCAACTATATTTTAGACGTCCGTAAGCTACGGTAACCATTTACCATCAGATAGGTCGTATGCTTATTTTCCGTCATCTTATATATAAAATTCTCGTGTCACAGTTTTCGTTCCCATACTTCTCCGAAACGGCTTGACCGATTCTCATGAAATTTTGCGAGCGTATTGAGTAGGTCTGAGAATCGGCCAACATCTATTTTTCATTCCCCTATTTTAAGGCAAAACAACATTTGCCGGGACAGCTAGTCCTAGTATAAGAATACAACTTAAAAGAAATCTAATTCAACAATAAACTCGTTCGTTTTCTATGCGAAATAATCTAAATTGAAATTATAAAGTAATTTCTTTTAATTTTTGTTCCTGCTACTCAAATGTAAGGGGTTTTAAATCTTCTTCAGAGTCTACGCCCAAATATTACATGCGAAGACCAACTGCGACGGTTACAAGGAACAGGGCATTACGTACCCGGCCGGTAACATTCAGAAGTTGCTCCTCAGAGAGTTCTACGAGGAATGCTCCATCTCACCTTCAAGTTTGGAATTCGTTGAAGCCCACGGCACAGGTAATATATCTATTCTCTTAGAACCATCGAACCATAGAAATTTCCATGAACCATATTTTGGGAATTTAGTGTGAAAGATATGACGGCCTCGATGGTTTAGGACACCACCTAACACAGACCAACCCACACCGACTTCTAAACATTGTTCGACGTAACTTGAAACGTCGTAAATCGAAACAACATACGTCAAGGACTGTCTATATTTACAAAAATGAATATATAAATATTTGTGTCAGTTGCTTAGTACCCATTTAGGGTACAAATTAGGAAGTGAAACTCCAAGATAAGGGGCATGACATCTTAGCTCTCTGGAATGACAATGAATGAGTGGTATCGCGGGTATCACATGATACCGTGATGTTCATAATACATAGATGTATATTCCACGCGAGCAGCACCGCGGTATATATCTAGTGTAGGTAAACAATATTCGTCGTTTATTGAAACATATTTTTTCGGTTAACATTTTATTAATATTTATCTAAATCATGATCAAAATGTAGCTGAATATAGATCTGTGTATTTATTCCTAAGAACAATATGTTTACATTGTTTTTATCAATAAATATTATATATATAAATATACTATTTATTTATTTTTGTACAAAGAATATAAATACCATCATCTGTTACAATAATTAGTGCTATCTTTCCGAGCCAAGCAACACGCAAAACAAACAATAATTTTAATAAGCACAATTTCTTTTTGATGTCGCATAATACTTCCTTTTGTGAACGCTGAACGGAGAATAGAGAAACAATCTGAATCATTCCTTGGAAAGATATTCATTAAAAGTTACAAAATATGCGCGTTAATAGATATCGTATTGTTCAGCTGAAGAGAGGCCATTACGAGGTACAGCTATAAGTATAATGTTTGCGCCTTTTAGTGAGATGAGGATTTTGGTTATTTGATTAAAATCGGAAAATCCTGGATAGTTTTTTATTTATTTAAAAATAGTACAAATGATGCGTTAATCAATCATTTGCGATCGTTAATTAATTAACTATTTGAATCTGAATCTGCAACCGTCGTCGTTTTGTCTCTGGCCCGCTGAAAACCCCCATTTTTTATTAATATCTTTAATGGCTCTGCTGAAACCGCGACGTTGCAGTATTGAAGTTTACAAAATATATTTGGGCTACACATTCGTACAAGAACACCTGAACATACCCTTGGAAGCTCCAGTATTCAACGTACAATTCTGATTCATAATAGTCAAGTAAGGGGTTGCAGTATAATAATGTTCTTTCTTCCGTTGGTCCTTACTTGAAATTTTGATACACAGTAAAACTGATCTCTCTGTGTACAAGGTTACATAAGAAAAGCTATAATCGACGCAACGACGACTTTGTCGACGCAATAAAACTCAATTATTGTTATAATTTCTATGTTTGTCTTTGTATTTATGCTAGTCTCAATGCGGTTTTCATAAATGTCTTACGATGAACTTATTGTAAAAAATTTAGCATTCGTTTGATTTCAATCGGTTTACAAACGTTCTTGCATTTAATAGCCAAATTCTTATAAGTTATAAATTAAACATTATCCTACGACACTTTGGAGCCGAGCAAAAAAGAAACATCATAATTATAACAATCACACAGACGAACGGGTGATGCGACGCTATACGGGATTAGGGTACGAGGTGCACCCTATCCATTTTTTAAAATGAAATAATTAGTGAAACCACGAAGTAAAGCTAAATATTAAATTCCATGGAGTGGTTTTTACGTGTACAAAGATTAAAAAAAATGTTGTTTTTACTTCTGTTGTTCTACCAAATTATAAAAATAATCCAGGACTATTTACACAGCGTTCTCTAGTCGGAAGCTAAGTAGTATACCTTATGTTAAGGGTAGTAGACAAGTGATTGAAATACTTAAATATATATATAGAAAACACCCAGACAAAGAATCACAATCGTAATTATAAAGGTTTGCATCGTGCGAGAATTCAAACCCGCGAATATCGGAAGCGAGGCAGTGTGCTAAACAGCTATACCACCGATGCCGTCAAAATCAAATAAACCGAACATTTCCAATTGAATAAAACGTTGTACATGTCAGTGCACCAATAGTTTACTTTATAATATTAATATTGCTGAATTTTCAATAAATACTCCAACTTTGTTATGACACAACAACGCTCAAAATTTTGTAAACCACAGACAATTAGCGCTGTTTGCTCTGTACACCGTTCCTTTCCCAGTTTATGCACTGTGCAAAATTAAATGAGCGGCAAGGTAACAATTGCACTCGTATTTTTATACATTTTATTATACGCTTTCATTTCAATTACGGGCAAAAGCTGCTCCATTATTTCGTCGGTGTTAACTACTTCTTTGTTCCTTGCTTGGTATATAAATTCTAATTTAGTTTTCTCTTCGTGAGGTGCAAACGTTGAAATCATACCAGGAAATTATTGTTACCTTTTATAATATCCGTTCTAGGATTTTTTAAAATAACACTTATATTACAAAATGAGACAAAGATGTCATTATGAATTACTGCTACGGTATTTTTTTTTATTGGAATGGTAAATAAGCTGTCGGCCGACCGGCCGAATGAAAAATGGGAACACAGAAAAATTTCTACGGTCACACAGCGTGTCATCGTCACGTTCATATTATATATTCCTAATGCGTTGCAGTTCCTGAGATTTAATGTGATGGTATATCCTATAACTCCAACCATACCATCATACTGAAATGCAATTCGTAAAAAAGTCGGTTGAAAGTAGAAATATGTGATTATGTATTATAATCTGTGTCTTCTAAGATCGTTGGTCGGTATAGATATCGATGTTTTTGACGCTGTATAAGCCCTTTTACAGTAAGATATTAGAAATCCCGTAAAGTAAAAAGTAGAAACTCCATAATAACAGTTCAATTTCAACGTGGACTGTTCTAGAAATAATTGCAATGAATTCCTAGTGGATCCATTACGATGAGCTAACTGATCTGACTTCATCCCCATTCAATCATTCTTTACTGGTGCCCCGCCAGGGTATGCTGTTAATGCAGGGAGGTGCACCGATCCATATTCAGAAGATTTTCGTGCATAAACCGCATTTTAAATAATACTAATACTTTCTCAATTCAGGTACTCGTGTCGGTGATCCAGAGGAGTTGGTGGCCATCGATGAGATCTTCTGCACCGGCCGCTCAGAACCACTCATGATCGGCTCTGTCAAGTCAAATTTAGGTCACACCGAGCCTGCTTCTGGACTGTGTTCAATTGCTAAGGTATTTTTCATTCTAATAGAAGCAACTACTAATATTAACTATCGTAGACATGAAATTAGGTGAATATAAAATTAAAAAATTTTGAATTTATAGGTTATATAGCCGTGCGTAGTTGAGGCTGGCTGCGATTGAGAAATAATTTTTAAATTTACGATTCGTTGAAGTTGCATATATTGTTTTCAGATGTGTATAGCATACAGCACAGGGTTGATCCCACCAAATCTGAACTATAAGGCGCCTCGAGACGGTGTTGCCGCATTGGCTGAGGGCAGACTCCAGGTCATCACGGAGAAGCAACCCTGGAACAGGGGCATGTCTGGCATTAGCAGCTTCGGTTTTGGTGGAGCAAACGCCCATATACTTCTACAAAATATAGCTTCTGAAAAGGTAAACTTATTGAATAAACCGTATTTTTTGTATAATAGGAATGGTAAGCAAGACTGGTGGTAAATGGTAACCGTCGCCTATATCAGTTGACCCGTAACCAAATGTTTGTAAAAGCGTCGTAAAAGTATTCAATTAAAGGTTGAATATTTACCGAGATCACAGACAACACAATATTACATACCGAGATTCAAAATGATGCATTTTATTTTTAAAGTACCCCTATATATGACTTTTTACAGTGTATATTGATACTTTATTATCAGTTGGACTATTAGATTCATTATCATCATCATCTACTTCTTCCTTATCCCATTTATTTGGGGTTGGCGTAATGTTTTCTTCTTCCATTAATTAACTATTAGATTGTTCTTTATTATTAAACTATTCTAGTTATTTTTTTTTTCTCGTATCAATCAGATCAACAATGGTCTCCCAGCCGATGACTTGCCACGTCTCGTCTGCGCGTCCGGTCGTACTGAGTCGGCTGTAACCAAAATACTTGATGACCTGGAGACGAGGCCGGTGGATGTAGAACAAGTTAGACTGTACCATGCTATCCACGGTGAAGACATCGTTGGTCATGTTGTAAGAGGATTCACGTTATTAGGTAAGCATATTCGATTCCATCCCAATCATTAATAAGATGGCCAGGGAAGATAGCAGAATGAGGACGGCGCAAGATCGCAAATGGTGGAAGGCATTGGAAGGGCCTATATCCAACAGTGGATAAATACAAACTGAAATGATCATCCGAAAAATGCTTACCGTTTTTTTTAATCTAATTCTGAGTTTGGATTATGTTAGTTTTTGGGTGTATGTTACACGACTCTAATTGAGAGCCATGCATTAATTACGTCGAAGTGTGATATTGTGTGACAAAGGGCGAGGGGGGTATAAATTTCATGTTATCACATTTCAAATGTGGTATATCTCAATATGACGAGAACGAGGCGAGGCGGGGAAATAAAGTTATGATGAAATTAATCATTGAATTATACGACAACATTAAATAGTTTCCCCTTCGATCAACCCCCATCCAATTCAAACGGGAATTGTAAATACCATGGCCTGAACCAAGGCTCGTACTCCTAGCGGTGCTCTCAGTCTAAAGTCGTATACCTTAAACAGGAGTTAGGCCTCGGCCGCTTCATAAGTCGTTTCGCGGATTTGGAACACCATCTGCACTAGCCATCTATTGTTCTGTGGAGTAGTAAATACCAGTTGCGGCAAACAGCATTAAAATATAAAAAAAAATATCTAGATAACTAATGATCTTATATACTTTTTTAGGCACTACACCCACAAAAAGCATCCCGCTGGTCCGCGATATACAATATTTCTCCGGTGTACGTCGCCCAATCTGGTTCGTGTACTCGGGTATGGGGTCACAGTGGGCAGGCATGGCCACGCAGCTCATGAGGATTCCTGTCTTTGCTGCAGCGATTCAGAAGTATGATCACTTTATTAACTTAACGGCCTACGTGGTCGATTTAGCACACCACCTTACTTTTAATAGTCTCGGAATCTAGCATTTTGCAAAGTTTTGTATAATTATGTCTATATTTACAAAAAAAAATCCATCGAATTGTTTGTGTGCAGTCTGTGTGTTTTGCGTTTTTTTAAAAATCGAAAAAATATTTGTTGATTTTATATGTCTATAATTTTTACTTAAGTAAAGAGGACTAAGATATCATGGCTCTTATTCTGTAATTTCACTACCTAATACCCTACAAAAAAAATGCATTAAGATAAAGACTTCATAAAAAGCTTCACTTAAATTTTATTTACTTCTTCTGTACAGGTGTCACAAAGCTTTAGAACCTAAAGGCATCAACTTAACCAAAGTGATCACAGAACCAAACCCTAAAATCTACGACAACATATTAAACTCGTTCATTGGCATCGCAGCAGTTCAAATCGGTCTCACTGATGTACTGAAGACGGTTGGCATTGAGCCTGACCATATCATTGGTAAGTCGGTCTTTTACATTAGTATTTTTCAGAGGTATAACTAAAAACGATAATGTTTCCATCAAATTTTAATCAACGTCATCATCATCCTAGCCTTTTTGAAGTATTTAAATATAGTAAAATTTCTTTTTAATTATATTTCTTTCGTATATTTTGATACACCATCTTCACTCAACAAGTCTTCATAGCCTCAATTGAAATTCTTTTTTTTCTTTAATACAATTAAATATAATAACATTTCTATCAAATTTTACATTATTAATGCCTTCTTCGTTTGAAGTCAACCCCGCTTTCTTTTTTATATCTATCAGATATTGATTGAGTTCATGACCTCTTGCATTATTTGATGTTACCGTAACAATTTTTCCCTTCCATTCTGACCTTCCTTCACTCATCGTAAGATCCTACAATAACATTTAATTATCTTATATCACGCTGTCTATACTTATATTAATTTACTCTCAAGTTCATTATTGTTTCATTTTCATAAGACTCATCTCTTTGCAGGTGAATAAATTTTCATTCCAAATCAATCTTATCCAAAATTAATCAAACATTTTCACAGAAATTTAAATTGTTTTATTGTCTTAATTTTTACTATTCACAAGTTTTAAAGATCGCATTGGTATATAAACGTTCACAATTTCAAAGTTTTAATATATTAAAAACCTTACAAATTAATAGTTTTATTCGATTTATATTAAGAATTCAAGAAAAAGGGTCATTTTATTTCTTTTCTAATAAATTTTCAATATTTTAGGACACAGTGTTGGCGAATTGGGGTGCGCATACGCAGATGGCTGTTTCACGGCCGAGCAGATGATTTTGGCAGCATACAGCAGAGGTTTAGCGTCTATTGAGACTAAATTCATCAAAGGATCAATGGCTGCTGTTGGTCTCGGTTATAACCAGGTAAATAAGCATAATTTTGAATACTAACTATAATGTCAATAATAAAATTTATTAGATTTTAAAGGAGTGTGTCCACGCAATTTAATTAAGATTTAGATAATCTTCAGAAGTTATTCTATGTCTATTCAGGGATCTTGCGTTTTCTCTCACCTAAATGAGATAGCAATAGTTTCAATCAAAACAATGCCGTAAAGATGTACGTTTTGGCTCTAATCTGTTATATAAGTAAATATAAAGATACCTTTCTCGGTAATTTCGGCAACAACTTATTCTCAGACCTACCGAATATACGTATAAAATTTTATCTAAATCGGTTAAGCCATTTCGGAGAAGTATAGCATCTAACACTGTAACACGAGTATTTTATATATTAGCGAGAACTAGTGATCGCACAATAGTTCAAATTTGACCATAATTAAATATGTTTGAACATTATTAAGGTTCTATTGTCAAAGGCTTCTATGTGTATATGTGATGACATGATAGTGTGTTTGATCCTTTTTGCACGATTTAAAAAAAATACAAAATTACACACTCCTATTCTATATAAGTGTGCGAAGTTTCATACTCCCCGGTCCGCGAAGTTTCGTAAAAAGTTTTGCTTCAATTATCTTATATATAAAATTCTCGTGTCACAGTTTTCGTCCCCATACTCCTCCGAAACGGCTTGACCGATTCTCATGTAATTTTGTGAGCGTATTGAGTAGGTCTGAGAATCGGCCCACATCTATTTTTCATCCCCTAAATGTTAGAGGTAGTCCACCCCTAATTTTTTTTTTTTATTTTAAGGCAAAACAACCTTTGCCGTGACAGCTAGTATAGATATAGTATAGATTATATAAGGATAAATTTTTTTTTATAGATTAAATCTATGTGCCCACCTGAGATCGAGGTAGCCTGCCGTAACGGTCCCGACTCCAGCACCATCTCAGGACCTGCGGATATAATGAAGAGTTTCGTAGCCAAGTTGACTAGTGAGGGGATATTTGCGAAAGAAGTGCCGTGCTCCAATATAGCATACCATTCGCGATATATCGCAGATGCTGGTAAGCTTGTTAAAAAAAATGATTTTTTTTTTATTTCATTATAGGTACACTAACGGATACCTCATTTTTGTCTTTTTTTCTTAGATAAAAGATTATCTTTGTCCTTCCTCGTTATAATTGCATGAGGAGCAAGTACTCGTATCTAATAGTGTGGAATGAAATATGTAAATTTAATTAAAATATAATAGAAATACATCTCATTTTTGAAACTGTTGTATTCCAGTTTAAAAAATAAGTACAATGAACAAAAAGTGAGACAAAACAAACTTTTTTATATAATTGCAATAACATATAAAAAGTATTTTGTTTAAATGTCTTGTTAATGTTACGATAGATTGCTATCTTGACGTTAAATTTAATTAAAATCAGTTTAGCTTTTTTCTCGCTTCTCGGTTCGAGTAATAGACAGATAGATACGATTTCGCATATATATATATATATATATCATTAGCTTTTGCCAACGATTTCGTATGTATGAAGTTTCATCCCCTATTTCACCCCCTTTTGAAATTGCTGTAATAGATAACATAAATAAATCCACATTCTAATGAGAGATCATTATACGAACTATCTTCACATTAAGTTTTATTAAGATCCGTTCAACCGTTATAATGTCTGTACGTTATGTACAGACAAACTGACAGACAAATAAACACACTTTGCATTTATAATAGTAATAATAATAATAATAACTACAACTACTAAAGCGTAAGCCAAATTTATTAAAAAAAAATTACATCTAACCTATTGTTCTACAACTATTATTGCTTTTAAGGTTTCTTTTAATTATTAAGGTTCCTTTGCAAGCTATATTTACGTTCAAAGCTGAGATATGGCAGTGAAATTACAGGGTATTAAGAACGATAATCCATAGTAATCGGAACATGCAAAGGTACCAGGCATATCGAACTGAAAGCCCTGGTACTGTTGTGCCATCAGTTGGCCCTCAGCTTGTTTTGCTATACCAGAATTTTTTTAAACTCACTAGGTCCCAGGCTTCTAAAATACTTGAAAGAAGTCATTCCATCACCGAAGGCTCGATCAGAGCGTTGGGTCTCTACATCGGTACCTCAAGCGCAATGGAAGAGTTCCAAAGCAGAATTATCGTCTGCAGAATATCACACTAACAATCTTTTGGTAAGATTACATATATATATCTTGTGTTATATAATATATACATTTCACCGCTTTATTTCTGTTGACCGCGGGTTCGATTCCTCGCACGGTGCAAACATTTGTAATAATGAGTAGGATTGTTTGTATCGGTCTAGATGTTTTTTAAATATATTATGTGTGTATTTATAAAAAAATGTAAGTATTTATATCAGTTGTCTAACCATCGTAACCTGACATTGTGTTATAGGTACCAGCTATAACACAATGTCAGGTTACGATGGGACTAGATGGCGCTGTGTTTATTGTCTAGTGTTATTTATTTTATTATAAGGGTCGGCAACACGCACGTGATACTCCTGTTGTCCAGAGCCTCGCTAACTATTTACCATCAGATAGGCCGTATAGTATCTTGCCACCATTTTAGTATAAAAAAAAATATACTAGCTGACCCGGCGATCTCCCTTTCTCTTCGCAATTATATAACGGTATTTTCTTTTAATATTAGACACAGATACTTAAATATACAAAGTTAACAAATTGAATCTTAAAAATTCAAATTCAATTAAGATTTTCGAAATAAAATCTGTACTGAACTGGACGATGGAGACAAAATATTAGTGGAAAAAAAAACTTGATTTGCATAAGTAACTAAAAATTTCTACGTGAATAATTATTTTAATTTAGAAATTTTGAATATCGTATTATATTTTCAATTCGTGACTTTAACGTTTATAATTGAAGAGTTGTATTATTTTAAAAACTACATTAAAATTTAAACAGCAAATTATCCTCAATAAAATAAAAAATAATGATTTCCGAGTAATATTAATTCTACCTACATGTTTCATATAAAATAATATTTTGATTTGTAGAATAACAATAATTTTGTTTCTATATACATTAAGAAAATCGACAGTTAACTATTGCGCGCAAGTGTAACACTAGGGGTGTTCCTCTAGTGTTTCAAATGTCCATAGGCTACGGTAACCATCAGATGGACCATATGCTTGTTTGTTATTTAGTATAAAAAAATGAATCTAATTACTCCATGTTGAGAAACAGTCGTGAAGTATAATAACCATTTTACAGAGCCCGGTCCTCTTCGAAGAAACCTCCCGTCTCATACACCACAACGCTATCACCATCGAAGTGGCACCACACGCCCTACTCCGAGCCATTCTTCAACGGTCACTCAAGAAGGATGTCATCAATATATCACTAACTCAGAGGAATCATGATGACAATGTACAAGTTCTATTTACAGCGCTTGGAAAGTAAGTTCTATTCGCTATTTCATTTGCGTTTATAATACAGTGAGAGCTTTTTTCGACTATTCTAATGCTGTTGGCCGCAGCTGGTGTTTACAGCGTCACCGAACAATAGGAGGAAATCCGCAGAATTACTTATGAAACGGCTGAAGGCCAACTCCTTTCTGACGGATACAACTTTAGACTGAGGGCACAGCTAGGGTTTAGAAATATAGTATGTCCGCTCAACCGTAATTTCGATCGCAGGTTGAATTGATCACGGGTTCGATCGGAGAGGCAACAATGAGAGTGTCGTTACATTGTAGTTTGCTACTCTGAATACCCCTAAGAGATCGTGTGTTCAAATCTAGCAGTCACCAAAAAACATAAAACTTTGTGTATCAATTTTACTTCCGATGGTCGCGGGTTAGATTCCCCGCACAGTGCAAACATTTGTATTCATGAGTGAGTATGTTTGTGGTATCGGCCTGGGTGTTTTCTATGTATAGGATTATTTGCAAAAGAAAAATGTGTTAATGTATTTATATCAGTTGTTTAGTACCCATAACACAAGCTCTGCTTTGCTTGGTACTGGATAAATGCTGTGTGTAAATTGTCCTGAGATGTTATTATTATTTTTATTATATTATATTATATTATATTATATTATATTATATTATATTATATTATATTATATTATATTATATTATATTATATTATATTATATTATATTATATAATATTATATTATATTATATTATATTATATTATATTATATAGCTGACTAATATATGTCAGCTTATTTGCTTTTCCAGTAGTATAAAAACGAATATAATGATAAATTATTATTGAATTTCTGTGCAGATTGTACGAGTCAGGACTGAACCCGCAGCTTGCTAACATCTACCCACATGTGAAGTTCCCGGTGTCAAGAGGCACGCCCATGCTATCTCATTTGGTAGAATGGGAGCACAGTGAAGACTGGTAAGTAACTGTTTCTTTTCACTTACCACCACCAACCAATAATAGAAAGGAGGGACAAAATATACAAACATATTAGAAATAATCTTTATTAAAATAAACTTTAATACTATTTTAAAATGTAACACTCTAGTCTATTATAACACTATATATATGTAAAACCTTTTACTATCAAACCTCAAAACTATGAAGTACCTAGTTTCCATTGCCTATATTTTTACTAAAATCCAATTAAATACGCACATATGGTATGGATGCTGTAAAGAAACTCCGAGTCTTAATTAATTGATGGCAATCAGTCAAGTGGTAGTGGTAGTGTGTGTGGCTTATTAACAACGCAAACAGTTAACGCGGAGTCGTAATGTGACTGACTTTACACTCAAGACAGAAATCTAAGTTCTCGACGCGGAGTCGTAATGTGACTGACTTTACACTCAAGACAGAAATCTAAGTTCTCGACGCGGAGTCGTAATGTGACTGACTTTACACTCAAGACAGAAATCTAAGTTCTCGACGCGGAGTCGTAATGTGACTGACTTTATACTCAAGACAGAAATCTAAGTTCTCGACGCGGAGTCGTAATGTGACTGACTTTACACTCAAGACAGAAATCTAAGTTCTCGACGCGGAGTCGTAATGTGACTGACTTTACACTCAAGATAGAAATCTAAGTTCTCGACGCGGAGTCGTAATGTGGACTGACTTTACACTCAAGACTGAAATCTATGTTATGAGTAGACATATACAAATGAAAGAGCTGCAAAAGTAATACAAAACTTTGAAATTGTAAGAAATACGAATGGAAATAATCTTTATTTAAATAACCTTAATAAGCATGTTTGAATAGTCACATTTTTTTTATTCTACCACTCATTCGGAACTCAGACTCTTCACAAGAAATGGATGTGTTGTTCTTTTAATAACATATCTCTTGTAATTTTTATTTGTTTCCATTTTTTTTTTAATTATAATTGTTTATTTAACATAACTTATTTATTTATATATACATAACTTAATTATACAACAAAGAACCTAAAATTAACAACCTTAAAAAATATAATATAATAACTAAAATATATTATTAAAAGGAGTCTCTTTAAGGCAGGGTTACGAAGATCTCTTGTAAATAATATAAAATGGATACATACTTTTTATTAAGGCATATTTTGTTAAAAGTCTATATATGTACCGGAATCCAATTTAGTACGCCCAAATGGTACGGATGCTGTAAAGACTCGCCGAGTTGTATATTAATTGACGGCGATCAGTCAAGTGGCCGCAGACAAATAGCTCTCTTCTGATCTATTGCAGCCACTTTGTACATTGACTCCGATATTGCCAAGACGCCGAGTTAGGGCTTATCCAATATAAAATAACATGTACGTTGCAATATATCAAGGACTAGGTGACGGCTGCGACTTCGTTTACTCTATCTCTACTTGTACGTTGAGTAGATTTGTCTATTTTTGTTTATGTAATGTACTTTATATGTCTTACTTGACTTTATATATTAATATATAAAAATTTGCACGCATATGCAGGCTGAATACACTGGACATTATATTTAATATTGTATACACCTATAAGTACCGTATTCTACGAATAAATGATTTGATTTGAAATTACAAATTCCCTATACAAAATTGCATCCCCAATTTCCGCCTATTCTTTGTTTTTCCAATAAAAAATAGACGACGTTTTGAGCAAAGGTGTAATAATGTTACGTATTTTCTACGTTTAAACTAAATATTAATAAAATTGAATAACAATTAATTATTATAAGAATCATAAACTTTCCTTCGAATAAGAAAAACTCAAGAAATGTTATCGATTCCATGTCCTCAACAATCTAGGTATTGTGCGTACAATCTTAATTTACTTTATATTAATTAATAATATCCCTGAAAAATCACACCCGATCTATCTAGTCCCAAGATAAGCAGAGTTTATTTTATGGGTACTAGATAACTGATATAAATACTTAGATATATTGTTTTCTTGTAAATATATACGTAATATACATAGAAAACACATATACCGATAAAAACAATCATACTCATGAATACAAATGTTTGTACAGTGCTAGCAATCGAACCCGCAACTAACCGAAGTAAAGCGGTGTGCTAAACTACTAGACCACCGAGACCAGAAATGAAATAAATTTAAATGTACCACTTTGTAAACATCGTAAAACATACTAAGTTCCAATACATATTGAGGTTCTTAGCGATATTTTTCAGCTATTGACAGCAGCCTTATTGAACTCGCCTGTTCTCGAATAATAAACGACGCCCGGCTCTCCTGCATAGTGTATGTAAAATTACAGTGGCTCTGAGATGAATTACTTTGAACGTAATACCAGCTACAATACCCAGATCACAAGTCGACGTAACAAAATTATGAGTTTATTACCTAGCCCGCGCAACTTCGCCTATACTGCACTTACTTGATATTTGTCATTATATTTCACCTAATTTGCATAATATCAATTACAAATTATAGCCTATGTGTTATTCTGATGTATAAGCTACATTAGTGTAAAGTTTCATTAAAATCCGTTCAGGAGTTTTTGAAAGGTTTACAACCATTCTTCCATCCATACTCGCAACTTTTATGTTCATATTCAGATTGTAACTTTTATATTTGTTACGTCGTTCATTCTATTTAATTATTTGATGGCCTCAGAGGTCTAATGGTTTAGCCCAGCGTTTATCTTCCGATTGTCACGAGTTCAATTCCCCGCCCGTTAAAATATTTGTATTCATGAGCATGATTGTATTGGTGTATGTTATCTATGAATATTACATATGTATGTACTTACAAAAAATATAAGTACTTATAGTCTAGCTCTGCTTACCTGGATACAAGATGTCGTTGTGTGAATTGTACAAAAAAAAAATTCGTAGCTACCTCAGTCATACCGATTTCAGTAGTAGCTTATTTTGTAAACTGTATTTCGGTTAATGGGTAAAGATAGGGCAGAGAACCTACATGAAAATAAGCATGACATCTTAGTTCTCTAGAATGATAATGCATGAGTATGGATAATATTAATTCATGTCAATAGTATCACGGATATCATTAATTCATGTCATCAGTATTACGGATATCATTAATTCATGTTATCAGTATTACGGATATCATTAATTCAGGTCATCAGTATTACGGATATCATTCATTCATGTCATTAGTATCACGGATATCATTAATTCATATTATTAGTATCACGGATACCATTAATTCATGTCATTAGTATCACGGATATCATTAATTCATGTCGACTGTACTTGTTTAGGTATGTAACATCATACAAAGCCCAAGAGAAGATGAAGTCAGGCGAGCGAACTGTCAAGATGTCCATAGCTGATGAGGACAGCGAATACATGGCTGGACACGTTGTCGATAGTAAGTGAATATTTTTAATGAATAATAATGGAATTGTATACCCGCCTAGGGTAACAGTTTACGATTGCGGGGCAGCAGTGGATTATGATAAAATGAGCATGAGGTCAGGTCAGTCAACTCATTATAAATTCCTCAGAAATTTATCATGATAGTTCCCTGGGGGGCGTGGAGGTCAACCTGATGCTACATTGCTAGATAATCGGGTTATCAGTCGACATTACTAACAAACCGGTCCCCCTGTTAATATTAAGTAATCACAGATTTTTTGTATTGGTAAACTTTTAAAAATCTTTAGTGAACCCACATATAACCTATATTTTCTTTAGTCGACCTGTCCTTCTATATTAATATTAAATATCTACATTGAAGAGTTTATATTCACACACTTCAACTTAAAAACGTAAAAAAGTAACTAAATTATTTAAAAGAGCAACACGCAAGTTTCTGGCTTATTCTTATGATGTGTTCTTATTCTTCATTCCGAATGAGCGGTACATTAAAAAAACAATATGATGGCTATTCAAAAGTGCTTCAACGTAAGTTTATTTCAATGATTTTCTATTCCATTCTATTCTATTCTAGAAACATCTCCCGCGTTCCTCATTACATGAAGCAAAATGTGCCTACATTTTTAACATCCAATTTTCTTTTCCACCAGGTCGCAACCTATACCCGGCTACCGGATACTTGGTGCTCGTGTGGGAAACACTGGGTATGATGATGGGGGAACTGTTCACGGAATTGTCTGTGGTCTTCGAGAATGTACGCTTCCAGAGAGCTACCAATATACCCAAAGAAGGTCACTTGGAGTTCATCGTCATGATACAGAAGGGAAGCGGTAACTTTGAAGTGAGTATTTCCGTTTTTTAAACTAGCCAGTGCACTTGGTTACGCAATTTAGCAGCTCTTGAATAATAATAATAACTCTGGACAATTTACGCAGCTCCAACTCGTCCCAAACTAAACAGAGCTTGTATTATGGATACTAGGCAACGGATCAGACCGATACAAACAGTCATACTCATAAATACAAATGTTTACACCGGGCGAGGAATCGATCCCGCAACCATCGGATGTAAAGCGAGGTACTAAACCACTAGACCACCGAGGCCGTCAAATAATAAAAATAAAGATTATTCTTTTTCTATTCTGAAACCATCACACACAAACAGACAGCTTGTTGCTCGTTACCATTTTACTGTATGTAAAGATTCATGCATCCATTGTCATAAACCTTCACTTTATAATAATTGAAAATTATTCTTCTTCTCCATTCCCAAAAGATTGTTGAAAGTGGAGCCTCCATAGTTACGGGCCGCGTGTACGCCAAGAAGAACGTGGGACAGACGTACCGAGCATTGAAATCACCACCAGAGTCATCCGGACCTAATATCAAGCATATGTTCACCAAAGATTTCTACAAGGAACTCAGACTTCGAGGATATCAGTACAGGTAAATGTCAACCCAGGTCTGCTGCCAGCCGTTATAAAAAGTATGCACGGTTACCTCAGTCTTCCCTCATTTCAGCTACCAACTCTCTTTACTAACGAAACAGCGTGTAAAGCAAGCTGCTTGGCACTATTAATAGGTGAGATAGAAGTACCCATAAGGTACATAATAAGGCTCACAATAAGTACACACATACTCACATACTGCATTTACTTAATTTCATCCCGTAAATGTAGTATACGCCACAAAGCGAAAAAACGGTCAAAAGCTGAGAAAATGAGACAATAATAATAATAATTTTAGAAAAATTCACACAGCGCCATCTAGTCCCAAGTTAAGCTAGCTAAAGCTTGTTTTATGGGTGCACGACAACTGATATAAATACATAGATTTTTTTCGTAAATACATACATATTTTACATAGAAATCATCCAAACCGATGGAAACAATCATACTCATGAATGCAATTGTTTGTATCATGCGAGGAATCGAACCCGTGATCTTCGGAAGTAAGGTGAGGTGCTAAACCGTTAGACCACCGTGGTCAAATATATAAATAAATATTAATTTAACTAATGTATTACAGTGGCTTATTCCGCGGTGTATTGGGTTGCAACGTCGAAGGCACCAGAGGTAGGCTCGCCTGGCTGAACAACTGGGTCACCTTTATGGACTGCATGCTACAAATGAAGCTTATCGGCCAGGACACTCGTGGACTCTTCGTGCCTACCAGGATCGAGAGGCTGTCCATCGATATCGGTATCCACTATAACGCCATATCGAAAATGAACCCTGAATCGAAAAACCGCTCATTCGAAGTCCGGGTTTACCATGACGTTGATGTAATAAGGTAATTATTACGTTTCATGAACAATCTCAAGACTATTATTCCAAATACGGTAGCCAAAGGCAGGGAGCGAGCCTGCCGCTGCCTCTCAGTTTGATATCTGTGTTTCCTAACTCCACTAACACCTCTCTTTTTGCATTGAAAATGATTACAAACACAAAACTTGTGATTTGATTTATATGAAACTAGCTGTCCCGACAACGTTGTCCTGTCTTAAGTATATTATATATATAATATAATTGTGAATATTGAATTCACAATTAACTTTTCTAATGTTCCGCGCATGATTTTTAAGTACCTTGCAAATATTAAAAAAAAAGAAACCATAAAGTTTTTAAGGTTCTGAAAAAATGAAGAACCTACTCCAGACATTGACAAACACAACAAAAAAAGAAATTAACGAAAATGGGCCACGCATGATGCTACAATCAAGGCAAACAGGGATTCTTTCATATATATATATATATATATATATTTGTTTACATTTAGATCGGGAGGCGTAGAGATCCGAGGGTTGCATGCCACACCAATTTCAAGAAGAGTACCGTTAGGTGTACCTGTTTTGGAAAAGAACGAATTCATACCTAACTTTGGAAAGAGCAAAGTCAAGGTATAACTTTTATTATATAATAATTGACAACTAAAAGAACTTTATCGTTCCCAAATTTTTTCGGGTTTTGTATATAATAACATAAGATAGATGTATTTGTTGCTCTAGAATAATGAACCCAAAAATAGTGAAAGAATTTCCCAATTCGATGCACTGGGTCTGGATAACTTCAGCAACCATTGCATCCTTATAACAAAATTTGCTTTCTATTTCTCTAGTTCTGTCTCCATAACATTATTTCGATGCAAATAAGTACATAAATAGATAAATAATTTTATTTGTATCGTTATTACATATAGATTCAATTATTATTTAACAAAATTTGAATGGCAAACAATCTAAAAGAAATTGAAAAATGTCACCTATGTACTTAGTGTACAATATAACACACTTTTGGAAGTAATTAAGCATTCTTAACATTTTGCTTAGATTGAAGACTGCCTACGTGCAAACATTCAGCTTATTCTTGAAAACATACAAACATACAAAGTTAAAAGCATTGAACTTGCCGACGAAGAATATAAGAATGACAGTCTGCAACCTATTATTGAGAAAGTGGCTGATGTACTCGGTGACTTGCCTTTAGTTCAGGCTGAACTACTTCTCATATCTGAAGAACCTATTGAAATGCCTTCAACCATAACTGTAGAGAACAAGAAACTAGCTTCAGAAACCAATGCTGTATTGTTTGTCGGTGCTAATTTATTAAAGAGAGAAACTGTAAGTAATAATAATATTAAAACACTGCAAGACTCACACAGTGCTAGTCCAAACCATAAAACAGAGCTTATACTATGGTTAGAATACAACTAATAGAATAGAATCATTCATTGCCATAGCTAACCTTTTAAATCAGAATTCCGCTCACTCACATTTATGAAATATATATTTATTAGTATAATCATTTTTTACAAGCTTTATTCCATTAATTATTAGAAAACCAACGTTCAAAGTAACATAATTATGTATACATTTCGTGAAAAATTTACTAAAGTTAATAAAGTAAAAAGAATAGAGTGTTTCGAGAAGTTGTTTCCGAAATTCTGGGTATCATAATTAAGGTTAAGTAATACTTAATTTGATTCTCAGATTAGTGCCTTTCTCTGTTTAATATCATGTATCAACCTAATTCTTTAGCTTCCATTAACTAATTAGACGTGTTTAATCGCAATTCGATTAGACTTAATTGACTTATAGGGTTACGACCGCACCGTAATAACGGTATACCGTCCATATATAAACTTAAAATAGTTTATTTCTTTTAGGAAGATTAACGGTGTACTTTTACATGTTACTGTTGATATTGAATTGTTCTATTCGAATTAATAATCTTCACTAACAGTATTACTAAATTAATTTTCCTCATGATCCAAATATAACACGAAGCTACAGTGTTATAGTTATACAAGTTACAGATTAATATACATATAAGTAACGATGATTCTAATAAATGAATAAGAACAAAAAATAATCTTAAACAAATCTTATACTATGGATACTGAAAAACTGGATAAACACACTTCAGTACTCTTTTTGTAAATACAAAGATATATAATATACATATAAGATCATTTTAGATATATCGATCATTAGAGACATGAATATATAATGGAAAATATCTGGAATGGAATGGAATGTCTGGAATATTACATGACCGTTGTTGTATCTTTTCAATCTGGAATTAGTTGTAACTACCTTTTATTTGAAGAACACTACAATAATATTGAATACATAAGTCTGTAATGCAAATGAAGTTGCGACTATCAGAAACAAAAACGACCAACGAGGTCGACCAACGTACAGCAATCCCCACATTTTTTAATAGATATTATTTATTTGTAGGTATTAAGTCAAGCTACGGCGACTCTTCGCGACAAATGCTTTATTATAAGCCGAGAGAAAGAGCTTCCAAATCCCAAAGACCATTCAGACAAATACGACATTATAACAATCCAAGATGTTGGTACAGAATACATAGTTCTTTTAAGAAAACGCGTTGGCGCTCGGCCAGCTAAATTCGTCAAAATTGAAACTATGGATGAAACTTTCCCTTGGGTAGAAAAAGTAAAAGAAGAAATGAAAGAAGGTCAGAAAGTAGTACTATATACACAAGACGAGCCCATCAATGGACTTCTGGGACTTGTGAACTGCCTAAGGAAAGAACCGGGCGGTGAAATTGTTAGTGGTTTTCTGATTTCTGATCCAGCCGCACCTAAATTCAATCCAGACTTGGAATTTTATGAGGAGCAATTGGATAAAGATTTAGCAATTAACGTTTATCAAGAGGTAAGTAGTAAATGATACATATTTAAAGATTTTGATTTATATGTAGGTAGATGAATGTCCTTCACGTACGTTGAATTTTAAGTAAAATTTACAAATTATGTATATTTGGAACTTGGTTTATACAAATCTATCCGAATGCCTTCAGAATCTATAATATTGACATTGTATTGACTGACGTATTCTGCTTCTCTTTATTCTAAAAAATTAAATTTAAAACGAATAGAATCTTTTAGTCTTGTTCATAGGAAATGTTAACAAAAAAACAGTTACCTTAATTTCTTTATAGAAATTATATTTTGACTTGAAGGAAGCAACACAACACCGACCTTTCCTTATCGTATCAAACTGAGATCGAAATTAAAACTGTTTGGATCAATATTGTAACCACTAACGATGCCTCAGACTGAAGTCATATCAGTCAGGCAGTAGCTAATCTTCAGCCACTCCATAAGCCTTTTTACGGGTTTGGAGTACCTTCAGCTTTCGTCCACATTTTAGTCTGATAAGGGCGAAAAGGTCAGCTGCGGCCAACAGATATTTATTAGAATATTAAATGAAGGGAGAATTCAACTAAAACTATGCACTATTGCAGGGTCAATGGGGCACGTACCGTCACTTCCTCCTCGGAGATCTGGATACTGTTCGCGCTGATCACGCCTTCGTGAATACTTTGACCATCGGAGATCTATCCTCACTCAGATGGCTCGAGGGTTCTATCAGAAAGGACCAAGTTTTCAAAAACCCATCTAGCTACCTTGTGCAAGTAAGTGATTTATTACTATACATACAAAACCACGTAATCATGTGACGCTCGTGATACCACCACATGAATTGTCATTCCGGAGGATAAGTTCTTATGCCTCCAAATCCTGTGATTTCACTACCTTTCAACTGAAACACAGCAAAAAAGCAAGCTGCTTGGCGGCTAAATAATAATAATAACAATTTTAATTATCCAATATTATTTCAATTTTTAGTTACTTATTTAATAATTAAAATATATTTAATAAATAAATTTAAACGCCCATTTTTAATTTTTTTTCGATTAATCAGTTGTACATTTGTATCATTTATTCTAAGTGTGCATGACGCACCGTTGTATACATTGTTTATGTTTTTATTGTCTATTATTTTATCTATTATATATAAAATAATATTGTATTCTGACATACTTCTTTTATCTGCCATATCTTACGTATATATAATCCATAGGTCGCTTCAGATCCGGCTCGAAGGACCAGATACTTTTACTTTCAATTCAGTTCAAGTTTATTACAATCACAATTTAAAACAATGGTATATTTGTAGATTTTAATACTGTTCTTCCCAAATAATATTGCAAAATATTAAAGTACTTTCGCTGATATAAAAATCGATTTAAAGGTATACTGTGCTGCCCTGAACTTCCGTGACGTGATGACAGCGACTGGCCGCGTGACCGTGGACGCGGTCGCTCGCGGCAGACTCGCCCAGGAGTGCGTGCAAGGTTTCGAAGTCGTCGGACGTGCTCCAAAGTTTGTACTATAATAATAATAATAAATAATAAGAAGCTATAGAATAACAAGATAGCATATAGCTATAGAAGTAACAAGAATTTGTAAACAGGAAAAAGTTTATATAATACCCATAGTCCTCTCATCTACAGGTATCATACCCAAACACCTACATCATAGCCTGAAACAATTAGATATGCAAAAAACACTTTACATCACCCTTCAAAAGGCTGCCATCTTAAATACCTGTCGTACAGTCCGAAAATTTCTTGAAATCGATGAAAATGATATAACACCAGTCACACCAGGCACACAATAAGTACACACACACTCACACACACATACACGCGCACACACACATACACACACTCTGCACTTACTTGGTTTCGGCCCGTAAGTGTGGAGAAAACCAGCAATAGCTGAGAAAAAATAAAGAATAACAATAATAATAATAATAGTAAAGTATTTGAAAAGATTATGTTTAACCAAATGTTAAAATACTTCAGGGATAACGGACTGCTTCACAGTCAGCAATATGGTTTCACTGCCGGCAAGTCTACTACTGATGCAGGTGTAGCGCTTATTACACATATATTCGAATCATGGGAAAACTCACAGGATGCTCTCGGCGTTTTTTGTGACTTGTCGAAGGCGTTTGATTGCGTAGATCATGAAACACTTTTGTACAAGCTCAAATATTATGGTATTAGAGATAATGACCTAAGTCTAATGAAAACTTATCTAGAGGATAGGGTAAACTGTAGATATTGATGGTGTAAAGTCTAAGAACTAATATAAAAATGGGCGTTCCTCAAGGTTCAATATTAGGCCCATTTCTCTTTTTAATTTATATAAATGACCTTCCCTACATGGTAGAGAAAGTCTCTCAGATATAGTGTTATTTGCTGATACTTCGTAAATAAAAAATTGGTCGCCAATGTAATCAATTAGACGATGTAAATTATGCTATCTCTGCTATACTAAATTGGTTCACATGTAATAATCTATTATTGAAAATCAACACACACCATTAAATTCACGCTGCCTAATGTAAAACAAGTAAATACGCAGCTATTGCTTAATGATGAAATAGTAAATTTTGTTAATGATACAGTTTTTTTAGGAATAACAGTGGACTCGAAGTTACAATGGGGGCCCCATATTTCAAAATTAGCCAGTAGACTTAGTTCTGCTGCATGCAATTAGAAGGATAAGGCAATTAACAGACGTGGCGACGGCAAAACTTGTATATTTTAGTTATTTCCATAGCATTATGTCATATGGCATACTGCTATGGGGTAAAGTCCGATATAAATACTATATTTATTTTACAAAAGAGAGCCATACGTTCTATTTATGGTATGGGTTCTAGAGAGTCATTACGTCAATGCTTTAAACAATCAAATATCCTCACCGTTGCCTCACATTTTATGAAAATATTATGTATACAAGGAAAAACTTAGATAGTTTCAAGAAACTTAAAGACTGTACAAGTAGAAACATAAGTAATTTTACAAATGCCGTCTACACAAAGTTAGTAATTCATTTTATGGTGTAAGATTCTATAATAAACTGATTTACGCTTCTTACAGAGAGGCAATTCAAATCTTATATTAAACAAATGTTATGTAAAAAAGCCTATTATAAGATAGATGAATTTATAGATGATAGCAATATATAGCAAGAATAAGTTTATTTGCGGACAACGTTATAATTATAATTTTCATACTGCTTTCTTGATATATGATAGCGTAGCGGCTTTTGTATTGATTGCCGCATGCATCCTTATGTAAAGTGCGAATACTGTAACTACCATATAGTAATTTTTGTAGCTGTGACGTGGTCGTGTGGAATGAGTAGTCATGCTCACTAAAATGTCCAGACATGTGGCGGCGTGGTGGGCCGGGTCAATGGGCTCCCTAAAATATGGTCGAGCGCAGTGATGGCTGGCTCATCCGTCATACTCGTGAACGAGTGCTGCTTGTAGGGACTGGTCTGCTCTTATCACTACGACTGATTTATATTATTGCAAGATTATATTTGACACCAAAAAATTAGTGCTTGTTGGTAGTTTGTATTCACACGTTTCGACTTGTAAATGTAAACTTAAAAATTTAAAGAGCAACACACAAGTTTCTTGCTCGTTCTTCTTGTGATGAGACAGCTTTCCGAACGAGTGGTAGATAAAAAACAAATTGTTATGACTATTCAAAAGTGCTTAAATTAAGTTTATTTGAATAAATGATTTTCTATTCTATTCTATTCTATTCTATTCTAATAATAATAGAACTATTACAAAAAGCCGACTTTCTCAATACATGCCGAATAAAAAATTTTTTCGTCATCACTTTTATCATCATCATTTTAAACTCATCCACGCTTGGATAAGACCCGCGTGTTTGACCCATCATCCCTTTCCTGTCAATTAAATAAATATTTCTTTCAGAATAATATTATTTTTTAAGGGATTTATAAATTTGTTCTTATATATTGAGCTAAAACTGGTCATATCATGTTTAATTATAAATTTTACTGAACTATTATAGATAAACATACATTTCATAGTCGTAAATAAATATATGAATATTTCCTTCTTTTTAAACATAAAATAAGGGAAAAAAATATTTAATAAATAATAATAATAGTCTTTATTTTACAATTAATCTTACATCTATACATATAAATAAAATTGGAGTGTCTGTTTGTAATATTGAAATAACCGTCTTTTACTACATGCATATGAATATGAATACGTAACACACACCAAAATATCATTTTTTACAATTTTTGTCTGTCTATCTGTCGATCTGTTTGTTCCGGCTAATCTCTGAAATGGCTAGACCAATTTTGATGGGACTTTTTTTGGCAGGTAGCTGATGTAATAATTAAAAATAAAAGTAGCCTAAGTTACTCCAACTTAGGCTACTTTTATTTTAGAAAAATATTGTTTAATTCCACGCGGACGAGGTCGCGGGAACAACTAGTTGTAAATAAATATATATTTAATATGTATGAGTTTACGCATTTACATATGCACGGTACACTTATGTATTGTTGATGTGTTTTAACTTATAAACATGCATGTTTGTCATTCAAATAATCGTTTCGTGTGTAGTGGCTTACATTCAATGATTTTTCAACAGTGGCTCCCGAATGATGTGCATGGTGAGAAACTCTGGTCTGTCAAACATGATAGAATGCGATAAGGCGCTCTCTTGGGCTATACCTGATGAGTGGAGTTTCGAGGAGGCGGCCACCGTGCCTGTCGCTTATGGAACAGTCTACTATGCTATGGTAAATAATAATAATAATATCCCTAGATAAACCACACAGCGCCATCTTGTCCCAAATTAAGCAGAGCTTGTGTTATGGGCACTAGACAACTGATATAAATATGTAACTACATTGTTATGTAAATACACACATAATTATTTATTTATTAAAATTTTGTCGCATAAATATAAAAATAAAGGTGCATAGTGCGGACTTAACATTATAAGGCATCACAAGAGTTCTCCCAGTCGAACATAGAGCAAAGATTAGAGAAAAAGAAAAAGAGAGAGAAAAAGATTAGAGAGTGATGCATTTAAGTAACTAACATAGAATAAAAATAATAAAAGGAAACTACAAATATAATATACATATTTGTACCTACTAATATAAAAATATAAATAATTTATTGTGCGAGTGCGAGAAATCGAAATTATGACCACTAGAAGGAAAGCGGTGTTCTCAACCGCTAGACTATCGAAGTCGTCAAATATATATTATTGTTATTAAAAAACAATGATAATCATAATATGATTTGGTTTAGGTGATGGTGGGTCAGATACAGCGTGGTGAGTCCATCCTGATCCACGCGGGTTCCGGTGGGGTCGGCCAGGCGGCTATCAACGTGGCGCTCCACTACGGCTGCGAAGTCTTCACCACTGTCGGTACAGCCGAAAAGAGGGCGTTCATCAAGAAACTGTTCCCACAACTCAAAGGTAATATGGTGATATAGTTTACGCTTTTTATTATCTGCACTTTCTCTATCCACCCAAAGGTAGTCGGGAAGAAATTGTTTAGGCTTTTATATCAGTTAAGGTTATTGTATTATCGATGTATGATGTATTGTATTATCATATCGATTAGTATTGTCGATGTATAGTGTTTTAGCCGATCCTTCAGATAGTGCTACAAAGGTAATTTGTGAAGTGATATAATTATTAGTTTTATAATGGGACTGCCTCCAATTCAAACGGAGATCGACATTACGACAGTCTGAGCCTACTTTCGAACCCCCTGTGGTGGTTTGACCAAAGTCATACCCATCAGGCGGTAATTAGTTAGCCGCTCTATAAGTCCTTCCGCAGGCTTAGAGTGCATCGGCACTCGCCTCCAATCATCCGGTGAAGAAGGGACTGGCATGCACTTTTATTTCGTACAAAAGTCCCTAAATGTCAAAGAAATAAGAAAAATCAGATAATGCATACTTACTATTTTTATTGTTTTCTATATTTGGTGCAATAAAGACTAGAAATAAATTATAAATACTTATGACAAGCATTCAAATCAAATCAAATGTATTTATTCATATAGGACCTTACGGCCTCAGCCTTTTTGTGTTCGTATATACATTTTTTTCCTTGTACTCGTTAAAATTTCTGTTTATATTAGACTAGCTAGTCCGCGTTTATTTTTCTAAAATAAAAGTAGCCTAAGCTACTCGTTATTACATCCGCTATCTACCAATAAAAGTCCCGTCAAAATCGGTTCAGCCATTTCAGAGATTAGCTGGAACATACAGACAGACGGATAAAAATTGTAGGAAATGTTATTTAAGGTGTATTCGTATTTATATTCATATGCATGTAGTAAAAAATAGTTATTTCAATGTTACAAACAGACACTCCAATTTTATTTGTATGTATAGATTATACTACGATTTATATTAAAAGTTTTAATTATATTATTAAATGCTTCCAAATAATACACAGCACATGCAGTCGCCATTTTTATTATTCTTTTCTTATAAATTACTTTCTCATACCCTCAAGTGGCTTGAAGAGCCTCGTGAAAATAGTTCATGAAGGTCTGCCCTGAATACCTAGACTGACACACCTTTCAATTTATAATAAGAAATATAACTATATAATAATATCATTGGTATGTACAGACAGTCATATCGGCAACTCTCGAGACACCTCTTTCGAGGACATGATCCGCAGGGAAACCAACGGCAAAGGTGTCGATATGATCCTCAATTCGCTGTCAGACGACAAACTACAAGTAAGATTATACTTTATTTTTAACTAACTATATTACTGGTATGTTACTAGATGATAATGTATCTAAAAGTGAAAGATTTTTTAAAATCTATGAAAATTTTATATTTTGTTTTTATAAATGAAATTAGAAATAACGAAAGCAAGAAGAAAAGAAGTACAGAAAAAAGGAAAACACACATTAATTTAACCAATACATAAATAAGAATGTTGCACCATCCTGCACTGCCGATATGCGATGGCGCAGCACTAGTAGAGGTTGATGCACATCCTGTGCATAAAGTTAAGCCAATCAGCATATTTTTTTTTAACTACTCTAATCGGTAATCATTATCCGCAGGTGAGCCGCAGACTCGTTTGTCCCCTGTGCTATAAAAATAAAAAGTTTAAGTCTAGAATAAGAAATACTATGACATTTTCCAGGCATCAATCAGATGTCTCTGCTACCGGGGCCGCTTCCTCGAGATTGGCAAGTTCGACATCAGCAACAACACGCCCATAGGCATGCACTTCTTCCTCAAAGAGACCTCCATCCACGGCATCATGTTGGATTACATCTTTGATCAATCGATGGAGTTCAGACTGGTAAGGGTCAATTTTTCATTGATCTTTTTCGTTTCGATCTCTCACGAGTTCCATTCTTTCATCTCACGGCACAAACATTTTGTAGTCATGAGTATGAATGTTTGTATCGGGCTAAATGTTTCCTATGTACTTATATTATATACAAAAAACAATTAGGGAATAATAAATACATAGATACATATATATATATATTATATATGCTAGCTATTCTAGCTGACATACCGAGATTTAATATTTAAGTTTATTATGTTATTGACAAAAAATTTCTGTAATGTTACAATTATGTTGTCCTATTGTTAATTAAAATTTGTATTGTTTTGGATGAATAAATATAAGTTCTCCAGTTACTTTATTTTAATAAATATTACTTTATTTCTATTTCTCTAGTACCTTCCTAGAGAGTGGAGTTTACAAGAAGTTGATGATTCCTTACAATAATGAGTACCTTACGTCTTTGTATATAATTTTGCCCTTGGCTCCATACGTCCTTATATATAATTTATTTGTTTTCAACAGAGGTTACAAGATCTTCTGCTGTCCGGTATGGAAAGTGGTGCGATTCGTCCTTTAACTTACTGTACATTTGGAAAGGACGAAGTGGAGACTGCATTCCGATATATGGCTGCTGGCAAGCACATCGGAAAGGTAACATTTTCTTTCTCGTACATCCCTCTCTCTTACTCTCTCTCTCTCTCTCTCTCTCTCTCTCTTACTCTCTCTCTTTCTCTCTCTCTTACTCTCTCTCTCTCTCTCTCTTACTCTCTCTGTTATTCATTTTTTATGGATGACCACCACCACCACCACTATCGTGACAAATTCGCTAGGAAATTATCACGATGGTTTCCAGGAGATACCGCGTGGAGGTCGACCTAACTTAATACATTGCTAGCAATGGGCATTACTAGTTCCCATTACTAACAATCCCCTTCCCTCTACTCTATCTATTGTCATGTGATATGATAAATTCTATTGTCATGTCACATAACAAAAAGACGTACATTCATTCGGATTTGTAATATTATAATGAATTAACAGTTCTCTTTCAAATCTAATAACAGGTGATCATTAAGATCCGAGACGAGGAGAGGACCAACCGTCCCGTGAAACCTGCCTGCTTGCCCATTGAAGCAATTCCTAGGTACGTTATCATATTTTTATATATAATGAATTAATAACAAATTTGTGAGCATTTAATTAAATCTTATATAATTAATATTTGACGACCTCGGTGGTCTAGCGGTCTAACACACCGCTTTACGTCCGATGGTCGCGGGTTCGATTCCTCGCACGGCACAAATATTTGTATTCATGAGTATGATTGTTTGTATCGGTCTGGGTATTTTCTATGTATAATATGTATATATTTACGAAAAGTAAGTAAGTATTTGTATCAGTAATCTAGTACCCATAACACAAGCTTTAGCTAGCTTAACTTGGGTCTAGATAGCGCTGTGTGAATTGTCCTGAGATTATTATTAATATTAACGATGAAATAAAGCAAAAAATATGAAATATCATAAATCTAAGATTAACATACATATATAGCAAGCACTGTTGATGCGTTTATCGTGATTTATCCAGGTAACTGTGACCTATATATGTCATATATATATGTAATATATATATTTCCAGGTACATATGTCATCAGGACCACGTGTACATCATAATAGGAGGGCTGGGTGGATTCGGTTTGGAATTAGCCGATTGGTGCATATTGAGAGGCGCTAGGAAACTCCTTCTTACGTCCAGAAAGGGAGTCAGCAATGGTTACCAATCTACTAGACTTCGGTAAGCTTAACGTTATTTAATATGGAGTTATTTTCATAATGTATAAGCAGTCAAAAGCCTACTAGAAAACTGATGAAATTAAAACACTTTTACCTAGAAATAAATTGAAAATAAACTTTGAGAAACTTTGTGATGTTTACGTGGCCGCACGGTTTGTTATACCAAGGTTTAAAAAGAATATTTCCATTTTTTTCCACTCAATAAAAAATATATACTCATTTTGAAATCTGCTTATATCAATCTAAAATCAAATTTTCAAATATTTTTCCATTAATGAATAATAATAATAAAAAATCAAGTATTTGGTTGTATGTACTTTTTATGTCGAATCATAATAAAAATATCTGTTTGGAGTAGACTACCCTTATCACTCAGGGGCATGAAATAAATTACGTCCTATTCTCAGACCTGACTATATACACAAAATTTCATATGAATCGATCAAGCCGTTCCTGAGGACTTTTGTTACAAACACTGTGACACGAGAATTTTGTATATATTAAATTTTTACATAGAAATGAAATGAAGGCGCTTCCTCAGTCTGTTTTCTTAGATCTTTTAAACTACTTAACAGATTTTAATTAAGTTTTTAGCAATAGACAGAGTAATTCAAGAAGAAGATTCAAATATGTATAATACATGTAAACCCGTGCGAAGCCGGGCTGGTTAACTAAGAAAACTAAGTAAAGAATTAACAATTTGATTCCATTATAGAGCCTGGGCATCCTACGGAGCGGAAGTCCAAATCTCCACCCACGATGTCACAACGGAGTCTGGTTGCGAGGAAATGCTAAAGATGGCGACCTCAATGGGTCCCGTGGAAGCGATCTTCAATCTCGCAGTCGTCCTCAAGGATTCCATCTTCCAGAACCAAACTGCTGAAACTTTCAAGACTTCGTTCGACCCGAAGGCACTGGCTACCATCCACTTGGATAAACTATCGAAGAAACTATGTCCCACACTTAAGTATGTTGATGTTGACTTTTCTTTCTTCTAAGCTTTTATCTCCCAACTTCTATCAATAAGATAGAATGTGAATGAATTTTACCAAAAAAGATATGTATATGTAACAATAACGGCGTATGTTATTTATCTTTTACCTCAAAAATACTTATTTAGCTAACTAGCTGATTCCGCTGTTGCAGCCGCGTGAAAATTATAGCTTAAGTATTATTCTGATGTATAAGCAAGGTTTCATTCAAATTAATTGAATAATTTTTGCGTAAAAAAGTAACAAACATCCATTCATCCGTCCATTCACACTCACAAACTTCCATGTTCATTTTAGTAAGATATTCTATACTACTGTACTTTCTTCACCAGAAACTTTGTGGTATTCTCATCTGTCTCCTGCGGTCGTGGTAACGCTGGGCAGACCAACTACGGTCTATCCAACTCAGTGATGGAGAGGATCTGCGAGTGGAGGAAGAAGCTTGGCCTACCAGCTCTTGCTGTACAGTGGGGAGCTATTGGGGATGTAAGTTAATATATTTCACATAATAAAGAAGATATAGATGTAGTGATTAACGACCCAAGTTAGATCCAAAAGTAATATATAAATCGGGCTTACAGCAAAAATAAACTATAATATTTCTGAGTTTCCGTTAACCATAGATATCAAACCAAAATATTAATCAAAGACTACGGGACTATGACTTGTCCAGGGTAACAAAATACATAAATAAAAATCGGAATTGCATACATTTCCTCTTTTTGCGATGGGGATTTTAAAAACAAATCTTTTTATTAAGTGAGGAAATTCGTCCCCAGTGAAAATAAAAAAAACTAACAGTTTCAAATCTGGCGAGAAATAAACTTTTATATTATATATTATTAAGTACAGGAACTAACAGAATATCAGCGCAGATTTATCTATTGCTTTATGTGTATGAACTGAGTTGATTGCCTATTCACCTTTGCGGCACATCAAGTCAACTCCATTTCTTTTATTTGTTTATTTATTTTTTCTGCACTATTTTTATATATTATGGTGTCTGTAATTGGAGAATAAAGAATGTATCTATCTATCTATAACATAGGTTGGATTAGTGGCTGACATGCAAGATGATGACGTTCAGCTGGAGATCGGTGGAACCCTGCAGCAGAGAATATCCTCATGTCTACTGGCGCTGGACAAATTCTTGAAGCAGGACGCTCCAATAGTTAGCTCCATCGTGGTCGCTGAGAAGAAGGTCGGCGGATCCGGATGTGGAAATATTGTGGATGCTGTAGCTCAGATTATGGGTATGTACGAATATTAATTAAGAGGAGTATATCTACAAAATAATTTTACGATATGGGTATTCTTGAGTATTCGTTCTCTCTATTCAAAGACCTTACGTATCCTCTCACCTAAGCGCGATAGGAATACTTTCAATCGGAATTTTGCCGTAAAATTTTACGTTCCGCTCACAAGGCTTACTCTAGTATTACAATAAATACAAAGGTATTTTTTCCGTTATTCTGAAAATTCATAATAATTCCAATGTTTTGTAGATTTTTCACATTTTTATACTATATTGGATTGTTCATATAGTTGAGTTAAAAATAGGTACATTTTTTTACAATTACGTGAAATTAAAAAGCAAACATGTTTAAAAGAAAATCCGACTAGTGTGAAACGTTGATATTAGTTGCCTTGTCCTATGGACAAAATTTCATGAAGTTATATTCGTTATTTTAGAAAATTTTCTTTGTAGCACCTTTAATTTATGTCAAAATACAAAAAAGAATAAACCTAAGGAATTCCGCAACAGCTAATAGAATTGACGGAGGACCGAGAATTGTATATATAATTAAATAAATATGTAATTAAAAAAAAAGAAAGCTAAAAAATCAAAATCAAATTGCTATCGTAAACACTATTTTAATGAAAATTACTCGAATACTATAGTATATAATTAGGCACAGTTATATATTGAAATAAAGCTAAAGTTTTTCTGTTGTAATGCTTTAAAAATATATTAACCGAGGTAGACTGTAGAAACTGTTCTGCATGTATATTGTATACCTCAGTCTCATCCATTTCAGCCGTCAAGCAGCTTGCTCTGTAAGATATAATTTAATTGACGTGTGAGATAAAACAGTGAAATTGCATTACTCTGTAGGAAGCATGACAGTTTAGCGCTCTGGAACGGCAACGCATTGTGTACATCACAAGCGTCAAGCGTGACGTTTAAAGACAAACTTGCTGTCCCCAAGTATCGTTTAGAAAAAGTTAATAGGTCTTTTATGGGAATAGGTATAAAAATTTACAATAAGATACCAAAGGATATGTTGGAATTACCCTTAAATAAATTCAAAACATCTGTTAAATCATATTTACTGAGCAAAGCCTATTACTCACTAAACGATTACTTGAATGACGAGTGTGCATGGCAATAGTTGTTCATGCACTGAATTTTCATTTAATGTTAGACATAGACACCTATATAAAAATACATTGTAAATAAACTGTCTTTAAAAAAAAATGTAATTCAATTGAGTTTCTTGCCAGTTCTTCTCAATTGGATCTATATACCGAACTGGACGGTAGGGAAAAAATAAAATTATAATGTAAAAATTTGACGTTCATAAGCGGCTAAAATGTCCTACATGAATAAATGATTTTTGAATTTAAATTTGAATTTGAATTTTGACGTCCATTGTGCTGTTCATATATATTTTTTTATGGATGATAATAGAATGGTGCACCTGCCTGCGCTAACGGTTTACGCTGGCGGGGCACCAGTGGAGGATGATAAGATGAGCATGAAGTCAGGTCAGTTAGCCCATCTTGCCAAATGACAATTTACCACGATGGTTTCGAGGGGAATCGCGTAAAGAACAATCCCCTTCCCATAAAGTTAGTAAATGATAGCAAAACCGTACCAAGTCCCTTAGAGAAAAGGTCAATTCATGTATATTGTGACTTACCACTTACCGTTACGTGTACTGTAATCTCGTTTGCGAAATCGCTTATTTATATGTTTTACCGGCCTCGGTGGTTTAGCACACCGCGTTACTTCCAAAGGTCGCGGGTTCGATTCATTGCATATATATATATATATATTACAGTGGGTTTGTGTTAATCGTCCAGGGTTATTTATTATTATTACATCATAGAAAAAAAATTAAAACCTTCAGTTTGGTCGGTTTTTTTCATGTAATTGCAATGACAAATCAGCTGCGGGTAAGTGATAACTAATAACGATTTATCTCCTTTGAAAAGTATAAACTCTACCCTGAGAAAGATAGAAATCATCGCTCCTAAGAATATTCAATTCTTAGGATTCCCTGTTTAGGTAGCGAACTTTGAAATAGAGCGAGCACTATAGTTCTATGTAGTTCGCAGTGCTACAGGTTTAAAGCATCTATGTAATAGCCCAAATCTAATAAAAAAAGAATGGTAACTGTTACATGTATATAGATCAGTACACAGATATTTCATTATATAATAATATAGATATTCGTGTAACATAACATGATCAGTAGTTATATATATATATGTTAGTATAATGTAAATTATTATTATTTAGTATTCCCATGCCTTTTTTATTTCTCTATTCCATTCTTGCGCCATCTACCACTTTCTGTATTCTCTTCTCTACCCAAAGTTTGTCTGGAAGACATTGCTTAAGCGATAAGACTATTGTATTGTATCTTATTACTTATTATTTGTTTGTTCTTTGTATAATTGTTTGTATTTCTAGTGCAATAAAAAGTTAATAAATATTCCTACATGCAAGGTCTCAAGTAAAGGTCTAAGTATGTATGTACAATGAGCGCCATAGGTATAACGCACTATAAATGTGGATAGAAATAGATTTCGCAATTGCTTTTACATGTCAACCTAACATTACCCTTAATTAGGCACTCTAGCACTAATTGACTCCCACCAAATTTCCATATATAATTTCTTGATAATAACGTTTGCAGCGATCTATGATTTTCCTGACGTTTTATGTCTACATATATCTATATGAGGCTTATATGTAATACAGTTTGAATCTCATCACGATATATTCCTTCCAATCATTTATAATTGATAATATATTTTGACTCAACTATAGAGACAAAATATTAATACAAAAAACTTGACGTTCATAAGCGGCTAAAATGTCCTACGAATAAATGATATTTGATTTAATTTGTTTTGATTTGACTAGGTATTAAGGATCTGAAGACAGTATCACAACAAGTATCTCTGGCTGAGTTGGGTATGGACAGCATGATGGCTGTGGAGATCAAGCAGACCCTGGAAAGAGAATTCGAGATCTTCCTCACCGCTCAGGATATCAGAACCCTCACATTTGCAAGGTAATTCTTCATTAAAAGATTAATTAAATTGTTGATTATTCTCAATTTTTAATTGTACCCCACAGAAGCGAGGATATCTTAAAGTATTTAACATGGATGAAAAGGCGAGGATGACAAAGTAAAATTGGATGGATTGTGTGAAAGATGATAGGTATAAAAGGAGAGTAAGCTCAGATATGAAGATCGATAGAGATCAGTGGGAGAGTAGCGTCGTTTTTCTAGAAATCTTTTGCACAACCACCAATAACCTTCCAGCATTGATATTTCCGAACCGATACGATATTGAAACCTTCAAGAAAAGAGCTTATTTCTTCTTAAAAGACCGGCAATACACTTGCAATTCACTTAGTGTTGAGGGAGCTCGTAGGCGACGATGATCACTTACCAATTGTGATCTGCAAACAAGTTTGTCCCTTTTGCTATAATAAAGCCGTACTCGTTCACGAGTATGACGGATATAAGATTAAAAACCGTAATAAATTTCAGATTGGTAGAACTAACCGCACAGCGAGAAGAAGCATCGTCCACATCAGCAGTCAAGCCGTTGAATATCGACGCCAATGCTGGTCTCAAGGTCCTCATAAGGAACTTCGGAGAAGAAAAACTAGCCAACGAACCTCTGCTGTACATGCCGACTATGATCAGCGACGGAGTTGAAGTGAATAGCATATATTTCGTCTCTTTTTCTCCTTTATCCATTCTATTTTAATCCAAATAGATATCTAAAGAATGTAAAGACTTAGACTAAACTCGCAAAATAAGTTAATAAACATATAAAGTCACAGGAGGCTGGCCCATACTATAAAAATAAACACCAAAAGTTCTAACTAAATACCGAATAGTGCTTAAATATCATTTCCATTTTCCAGGGAGAAGAAGCTATCCACGTGATGGATAATGTGATGTTCATGCTGCCAGGGTTGGAAGGTTGTGCATCAGCACTGGAACCACTGTGCCGCAGACTAAAGATCAAAGTGTGCGTGTTGCAACTGGGAACTGAACACAAGAACGAGAATTGCGGTCAAATGGTGGAAAGGCTTTATCAGGCAAGTTAAAATAAATTACTGAAATTTCGATGCCTCTAGTAAGAAAGAACATAATTTGAGATATAACTTTTTTGAAAGTGAAATTGCAGGAGGATAGGAGGATAATACTCTTAGTTCTCTGCAATAGCAAAGCATGTGTGACGGGAGTCACATAATAACGTAATGTCCGTAATGTTGTTCATATGGTTATGATATACAGGTGATTACCGTTTACCGTCAGGCACATTGATAGTTTTTAGCCGTTCCAATTACATTAAAAATATGCTTTTTTGTATTAGTGCGGTTTTTTTAACTGTTACTTCTTTATTTTATAGTTGGCGATATCTCGCTTAGCACCCGGATCTCAATTCTGGATCCTGGGGTACAGCTTCGGAAGTCTCCTCGCGTTGGAATTAGCGGCCAGAATGGAAGAAAATGGTGAGATTTAAAACAATTTAAATTGTTATTGTATTAAATATTTTATATTATATTACAAATTTAATAATAGGTCAGATACTAACGAATTTAACATAATTATAATAAAGTATTGTAGTTGGGCGAGGTCTTGAACATTTTTAGACCCAAGAATTTAGAATTAATAGTAAGCATAAATCACGAACTAGAAGATAATTAATATATTGAAAATATGCACATATTTGAGTATTTCTAAAACCTGGATGGGCATTTTTCGTAGCTTTCTTTAACTTTCTCATTTCTCCTAACTACATATAAAAACTCTTATTCTGTAAAGTTTTTATTCAAATTCCTCCAGCCGTTGAGACAAATAATTTTCGCTCGCTTCGTCTCGAATTTTATATATAGGAAGTTTAATTAAGAAATTGAGAGTAATATTAATTTTAAGCATGTTATTACAAGATAATAATATTTGTTCTTTATGCTAGATAGTTTGTTACTTAATCTTAATGCAGATCATGCTTTATAGAACTCTTATACTTACATCTCAATCTTCATTCAGGTCTCAAAGGAACTGTATTCTGCTTGGACGGCGGACCTGAGTTCCTCTACTCAATCGCGACCATGACGATGACTTTCAAGAACGACTTCCAACTGCAGAACAGTCTGATCTGCCACACTTTAGACATCATCGCACCAAACAACGACGTGAACAACATCCTAATTGAGAAGCTCAACGAAATTGAAGATTATTCTGAACGAATCGACTTCAGTATCAATTTGTCAAAGGAATACGTTAAGAACGATGATTACTCTCACGGTTTTATTGCAGCCGCGGCGCAAGCGTGCTTTGACAGAGTCAAAGTGGTACTGAATTATAATCTCAAAGCTGCAAAGAAACTTCAGTCTCCAATAATACTTTTGAGACCCAAAGAGAATCCACCTTTCATAGTCTGCGAAGAAAATTACGGTCTAGACAAACATAGCGACGGTCCTATAACCATACACTTTTTAGAAGGCAACCACATCACTATAATTGAGAATAAAGATGTGGCCAATATTATTAATAGGGTTATAACAGATAAGGACGGGTCCAAATTGAAGGCGATGCAAAACGTCGTCACCAACATTGTCGAGAGTCAACGCGAAGTGCAAATTTAAGGGGAATAAAACGTTTTGGCAGGAATTTTATATTTTATTTGTAGATTTATTCATTTTGGGCTTTTGTCGGTGTATTACTTGTGTTTTGTAAAACTTCGAATAAGTGGCCGTATTTTAATAAAAAAAAACTTAGCGACTAAAGTAATTTAATAATTTATTACTACAATTAAATTGTTATTGTTAATTTTATATTAATGTTTGTGTTTACACACCAGTACCAAATAAATATTCATTTTTGTTATTTTTAAGTGATTGTTAGATTTTGGTGAGGAGGATATTTTGTATAATTTTATTATATTTAAATATAGGTGTAAGTAACTTATTGGTATTGTTGTTAATGGTAAGTAAATTATGTGTATTGGTTTTAGAAGTGAGTTTTTGTTAAAAATGTTATTTAAATACAGGTTTATTGCAATGGCTATAAAGCATTTTATTTAATTCTATATGAAATAGTTTTTATGGATGATAATGGAATGGTGCACCCGCCTGCACTCACAGGTTTACACTGCCTGGGCACTAGTGGAGGATGATAAAATGAGAATGAAATCACGTCATTTAGCCGATCGTGGTAAATTCACCACGAATTTCTACAGTTCTTTCGAAGTGGTTATGGTTCCACGTGGTGGTCAACCTTTCGCTACCATATAGACATCCTACAACGCTGGTATACGAACATGCTGATGTTTTGTCAGTGCGTAAAATGTTCATATATCAGTGTTTAAGACGATATCATCGTGTAACTGTGCCAGCAATAACATCTGAACCAAAACGCATTATTAGAAAATTTAAATATCCAATTCCATTTGTGAAAACAACATTTGCAAAGAAGCAATTTAATTGTATAGCACCTCGGTTATACAATGCACTTGCTGGCAAGGATAATGATAAATTAAAGGATAAATCTAATCATGATATAAAAAAGATTATTTTGAAATGGCCCATATGAAAACTGTGAAACACTAGTGTCCCCGTATTAGTATCTCTCCTTCTTCTTCTCTTATACACATTCATTATAAATAATGATAAGCATTTAATTCTTATTATAAATTGTAATTCAAACATTGTGAATTGTAAGAGGAGGGAACTGGTACCTAAAATACAAGTTTCTACTTAGTTTAGGTACTTTAAATGTTGGAATTGTTTTACAATGTAAATATTGATGCAAAATAAAAATTATTATTATTATTATAACCTGACAGTACATTGCTAGTAATATGGTTATTAGTCCACATTACTGATAATTATATTCCCCCCTATATAAAATAAGTTTCCATATGATTTACAAAGCATATTCATTATTCAATTCACACCGCTATCTAGTACTAGACAACTTTTGTTTACATACATAATATACATAGAAGCCAATATGTTATAACAGCGTACAATCGGAACTCAATAATAGCTGGCAATCGAAACTCTATCTACTCGATATTAATTCTATAAAGGCTTGCACAAAGGTGAGCACTTAACTAATGCTCGTATACAAATGCGGTAACGCATAAAATATGGAATACGTCATCAAAGCGAGTATTCAGACTAAAAGCGCTGTTCCACATTTCAGCAATCATTTTAATCTGCCGGTGACGTGTCCAATGGCTAACTCATTTATCATTTTAATCAATCATGCGGACCCAGCTCCATTTTGGCGCGAAATATCGATAAAACAGAAGGAAGTAACGAATGGAAAATAAATGACTGCGTAGATTTTTTAGAGGTAGTGGCAATCTCTATGAATTTGCCTGAGAAAGTGTAAATTTTTTTAAAGATGATAATAGAATGGCCCGCCTGCGATAACGGTTTACACTGGCAGGGCACAAGTGGAGGATGATAAGACGAGCATGAGATTAGTTCAGTTAACCCATCATGGCAAATTCATCAAGAATTTATAACGATGGTTTCCAGGGGAACTGGGGGAATATGGAGGTCAACCTGATTCCGGTTATTACAGCCCTCTATATTTCCCGCCGAGAAAAATAATGGCTTTCTAAACACTCTAAATATTTAATAATTACTAACTAGCTGTTTGTAATAACAGATGTGTAAAAGAAATATTTGGGGCCTTTATAAACATAACAGAACCCAAAACAATACAAAATTAAAAAAAAAACAACATTCAAAATGTCTTATTCATATAGGTCAATTACAGACTCTTATGATATATCCAATCTACCGTCAATGTTAGGATTATTGATTCTGCAATGCAAAATGGATCTTATAATTTAGATATTAAATCATATTATCATTTACGTACTAATGTCTATTAAATATTTAATAACTAATAATGCAAATGTACGCCAAAGTAAAAATTACCGAAAATTATTTTTGTTTAAAAATTGCTCGAGCATTTAAAAACCTCTTGAAGCTAAAATGGTTGCAGTTGAGTTGAAATAAAATTGCGCATTTTCTATCCATAAAGGTAGTCACAGACGTTGCACATACAATAAGATTTTATCTGCAAACATCTACGCTAGAAACTTGAATAGTTATTACACTAATACAACACTCGTTTCAGGTGAATGTTCTAATTGAAAGTGCAATGTTAAATTTACTTGAGCGCATATCGTCCTCGCAAGGGTGCAATGATTTTAGAGACTTTCAATGTTTTTTTTAAATAAAATGTAGATCATATTACTTTGTGATAATACAGTTTTGTATAAATTAAAAGAACTTTTATCAATAAAGGAAATTTTGAGCTATATTACAAACAAAAGTGTAATGTTTTCTGAGATATAATTTCTTGCAAGTCATTCAATCTAGAAGAAATATAATTAGTAGATATTTCATCCTGTCACTTGCGCTAATGGTTTTTCGATTTTATCAAATCGAGAATTTTAACTGGCGACCATACTTTCAACATTGTCGTAAGATCCTGCGTCGTAATATTTTTAATTTATTAATTTTAGGCCTTTCTTTTTCAAAAGCTGCATGAATATTCTAAAAAATCGTAATACTTTTAAAAATTTAATGGACAAAAAAATTAATATATGTAACTAGCTGACCCGTGCAACTTGTCTGCATCACACTTGACATTATATTTCGCCCAATTAACTTAATATCTTTTAAATTATAGCCTGTGTTATTCAGATATATAAGCAAATAAATAAATTATTATTATTATTATTATTATAAGCTATATTACAGTAAAGTTTTATCAAAATCCGTTCAGTAGTTGTTGCGTGAAAGTGTAACAAACCCATCCATCCATACTCACAAACTTTCGCGTTTGTAATATTAATAAGTTTATACTTAGCGTTGTGTGTGACGACCTCATTGTAATGGTCCAGTACTGTATGCTCCATGCAGAGCTATTTAGTTAAATACTTAATGAACGTTACTTCCCGGCTGAAGAACATGTATTCCACATGAATTTGCTTTATTTTTAATGTATGTACGTTAAGTCTTTATAGTTAAATATTACTAAAGTACCATATATTAGCTGTTCCCGTGATTTCACCCGCTTGAAATTTATAGTCTATGTGTTATTCTGACGTATAAGCTATATTACTGTAAAGTTTAATCACAATCCAATTAGTAATTTTTGCGTAAAAGAGTAACAAACATCAATTTCTCTATCTATACATCCATACTCACAACTTGCTGACTTATAATATAAATATAAGATGTTTAAAGAGAGCCACCCGATGGGTCTCGATGATTAGGGATTGAGAGGAAGGGGTGCTAAGTGAAGATTAATTACAATTCACAAATACGATACTTTTATTTGTAATTTAATATGAGCAAAAAAATCAAAGGTTATTTTGTTTAATAAAAATAAATCACAATCTTTATAAATAAAATTCAAGTTTTCAAGTTTTTCCTCGATGATTTCCAAAATCTTTCATTCAATTTTAATGAAACTTGGACAATTTATACCGTCACACGGTATAAATACGGCATGGCAAAAGGATGAAAGTTCCTTGTAAAAAAATTTTTCGTTTATGTTAATCGGTAAAGCAACCGTTGTGAATTAACACATAAATACATAGTAATTGAGATATTAATTAATAGAACTACTTGTAAATATATCTTTATATTCCTTGTGGGGTCGAAGGGTTTGCGATGATGGCTTCAAAGGCTTGCTGGCAAGAGATGGAAGCGCCAGCTAGGCGGCTCAGTACCGACTACTGCCAATAATTTCCCTTGTCGAGCCTGTGGTAGGCCATGCCGCTCTCGTATCTGTTTATACAGCTACGAAAAGAGCTGTTCATGGACCATTACGCCATAAATGCTCTATAACAGACGCATTTTTGTGAAGCGAACGAAATGGCTATAATCTTATTATTAGAAGATTAAAAAAGATGTTGCATGCTTATTAATCATTTTCATACAATGATGCGACTGCGTCGGCAGTCCAGCGGTTATCATTCCGCTTTACATCCGACGGTCATTGGTTCTCCTCGGATAATACAGACTTCGAATATAATAGTTTGTAATGGATGTTTTCTACGTATATGATGTATGTATTTTAAAGAATATGCCTATGATTGTCTAATACCCATAACAAGCTCTTATTTTTTGTAAATTGTCTAGGGCTATTATTATTGCTATTATCATATAAATAAAGTCGACATCACAGAAGACCGAAGAGCTGGCAGCTATCTTGGACAAAGAATTAGTCTAGCTATTCAAAGAGGGAACGCTGCCAATATCTTCGGAACTTTGCCTAAAGGGATTTTTAATAATATATTTTAGTTATTATATTATATTTTTTAAGCTTTTTAATTTTAGGTTCTTAGTTGTACAATTAAGTCATGTATATATGGAATAATAATAAAGTCTATATTGGTTCAACGATTTCCGTGAAGTCCCAGCAATCCACCAAGCCGTCAGTACTGAAGGCTTCGACCTTCCACAGAGCTCTCCCGTACTCCTTTGTAGGTAGCCACATGTGTGCCACTTTGTTAGAATCCAAGTCTTTGAAGAAATAATTACCCTGTTAATACAAAAAGACAAATAATAAATAAATAAACAGACAAATCAAATTATAGACACTACTGGACTATATTTTATAGAATTATGCGATATTTTGCGAATATCCATTTCACTACATAATGGATTTATATTATTCTGTTTAATTCTGCTACAATTAGCAACTTACAATTATAAAAAAATAAATAGTAGTCATAACCCGAACAGAGCAGTCCCCACAAGCAGCACCCGTTCACGAGTATGTCGGATGAAGCCAACTATCATTGCCCTCAACCATGTTAGAGGAAGCACATTGACGTCATTTGGTTTGCCATTACAAATACATAAAAGAAAAAGTAAAAAAAAAAAAAATTATTTGCACATTTTAACCCACTCAACACTTTCTATGCCACGCTCTATTGGATTGACTGGAAGAGATCTCTTTTAGAGATAAGTCCTCCTTTGTAAACATTAGCTGTAATTAATGTACTTACAAATGTATTTATGTGCAATAAAGAATATTTAAAGAAATATCAGATTTGACAAAAATAAAGGGTACAGATATATGAAACTTTAGATACCAGGAATGGAGCACTTGATTGCCTCTTTCTATTTTCATATCTCTTGCTAGATATTATATAATTCCAATTATATATTAAATAAAAAAATACTTTGTGAACCTTTTATTCATAAAAAAAATACCATCAAACAATCCCAAAGGTAGGGGGAAAAGGGATTGTTAGTAACGTGAACTGATGATCGCATTGATTGTACCATATCAGGTTAACCTCCACGCGGTTCCTCCTGGAGACCATCGTGATAAATTATTGGTGAATTTGTCACGATGGGTTAACTGATCTGACCTCATCCTCATCTTATCATCGTCCACTGTAATCTATTAGTGCAGACTGCTGGACCATTCCATTGTCATTTATAAAAAAAATCCCAAAGGTATGTCATTTAAAACTGAGCATTTCTAGTGTTCTATTAACAAAAACCGTTAGCAATACCTCTGCCTACCCCGTTTAGGCTTGTAGTCGTAAAGTTACATAGCAATTATCAGACTTACAACTGATACTACGCAGTTCTTAGAGTCATATTTAACTCCTATAGCGGATACGAGGATGGTAACAAAAATACCACCACAGCCGTCTTGACGAAGAACTAAACTCGGCGTCCATTTCTTATTCACCCATTGGTAGTGTTTGGCTGTACCCTGAAAAACAAATCCAGCACAATATAGGATAATAATAAAAGCCTGAACAACTCACACAGCGCCATCTAGTTCCTAGTGTACTAAACAATTACAGAATTATTACAACAATTTTTTTGGAATAATAGAAAACACCATCATCATCTGCTTCTTCCTTATCCCATTTATTTGTGGTCGGCGTAATATGTTTTTTGCTTCCATTCATCCCTGTTCGCAGTCATCGCGTTATTTACTTCCTTTCTTACCATATCATCTTTCACACAGTCCATCCATCTCTTTTTCGGCCTTCCTCTGCCCTTATAACCATCCACATTCATATGTAACAAAGTAAATAAATAACCCCGGACAATTAAAACACGCACCGCCTAGTCCCACGGTAAGCAAAGCTTGTGTTATGGGTACTAGATAGCTGATTTAATACTTAGATATTTTTTTTGTAAATACATACATAATATACATAGAAAACACCCAGACCGATACAAACAAATATACTCATGAATACAAATGTTTGCACCGTGCGAGGAATCGAACCCGCGACGATCGGAAGTAAAGCGGTGTGCTAAACCGCTAGACCACCGAGACCGTCTAAAATCTATACAGACATACTTATTGTGTCGTGTGAGTAATCGAAGATGTTAAGTCCGCTGAGTGCACCTTTATTTGTGTATTAAGTTTTAATAAATAAATTATTATTTCATTTGTGTGTAATTTACCTGCAATTATTGACACTTTCGCGGCACTACACCTTCAACATACCACAACACACCTACACTATAAAAGTATCTATACGTCCCTGTAATGTCTTTATGTTGGGGATGTGAGCAAATCCTGCCCTCTGGTGGACGCGGCGCGCAACACCAGTGACAGTTTCGATCGCGGGAACGAACGGTCATATTAAAAACTTGCTGCAAATTGGCGGACATTTTGGTGTATTTGGGGTGAGTATAGCGACAATTTTATACACAATTTGAATAGGTAATTATGCTTTATTAGATACGTCATCCTGCTTGTTTCCAGTTACATGAAAATAAAAATAATATTACTTCAATATATCTTATATTTTGGCTGCTACTTACAAAAATTTGTGTGTAGCAGTTTCTATGTTGAATATCATATGCCTAATCCTTGTTAATCTGTATGAGCTTAGAACAACAGTCTGCATTCCGAATGAGTGGTAGAATGAAAATGAAATGTGCTCATTTTAAGTTTATTTGAATACCGATTATTTTTATATCTATGTCCTATGTCCAGCAGTGGACTGCAGTGATGATGATGATGATGATGATGATAATTCGACTAAAAATACCTTCAAATGCTTGGTCTCCTTGAATACAGTAAAGTTTCCCCTCATCAAATTAACTGCTGTAGAAGTGTTATAGAGCTCCAGATTTGCTATGGCCGTCCGTTCTTTTTCATATGGTACTTTTGTTTTCACACAGCGTCGTGCTGTTATCAATGTAGACTTATAAGGACCCTGGATAGAAAGGAATGAAAGTATCTAAATCATTACATAGTATAAAACAAAGTCGCTGTCGCTGTCTGTTCGTCCCTATGTATGCTTAAATCTTTAAAACTACGCAACGGATTTTGAAGCGGTTTTTTTTAATAGATAGAGTGATTCAAGAGCAAAGTTTATATATATATGATACATGTACACTCGTGCGAAGCCGGGTTCTAAGCTCTAGTTCTCTATAAACTATTAGTTTGTTTTTAATATTAGATTACTTTTTAAACCCTATCTTGTGTACATCCGGTATATTTTTACTACTACCTACCTACCTACTTTCTAGTAACACTCTCTTTCCTAACTCTGGAAGAGATTGCGTCAGCGACAGGACCGCCTTTTGTACCTGCTTCTGTCTTAAATCTTTTTCTACTCTTATTGGTAGTGAATAAAGCAATTAAATAAATAAGTTAAAAACTGTCTCTAGTAGTAGTAGTTATCTTTGACGAATAACTGTACAAAGTTATTTGTATGAATTGGTTATATAGATAGACGTAATTTTTATATCGTGTAAAATAATCTTCAAAATAATTTCATCCTGACCAAAGGGGGAGCGAGAGGGTGTGTGAGATTCTTATCCTTTAAAAAATCACACGGTGTACCTACACCATAGCCAGAGTCACAAGGAGAGATTACCATTCTATGGACTCCGGTGACAAGCAAAAATAAACTAATTATAGTTTTTCTAAGATCATAAACTTGTGGACTAATTTTTGTTTGTAAAATCATAACTCTGGTATAAAGTTATTCCATTAATTATTTAGTTAATACTCACAGATCTCCCACTAGTTCCGGCAGAATATACACCTATTATATATATAAAAATCCAAATGATCATAACATTGAACAAATAGGCCGTCATTACAATAAACCAAAAGGGACCCGTCCTCCATCAACATATTCTGTAAATACAATATTTTAGCGCTGATGTTTAGAGCGGCTCATTAAAAATACATTAGAAACAGCCAAACCTATCTCATTACCTAATGATGATATTATTTTCAGTACCCATAGAATGCCATAAAAATAACATAGGACAATTAACACACTACCATCTAGTTCCAAACTAAACTGAAAAAAAAAACTTAATACTTTTTTTTTATTGACAAATTTATTTACACAGAAATAAAAAAATAAACAATAAAACTAATAACCTTAAAAAATATAATACATGACTAAAATATATTATTAAAAGGAGTTCCTTTAGACAAGGTTTTTTTACATAATATTATATTTGTATACAGTACACAGTCACAAGGAGAAGGAATTGTTAGTAATTGAAGTTGAATTGTAACCCCATTGTTAAATTTACCATGCTAGCGCGACCTCCACGCGGTTCCTTTGGAAACCATCGTTGCCAATTCCTTATGACCTCGTTACGAGTTAACTGGCCTAACTTCATGCTCATTCTATCATCCTCCAGGTGCACCCATCATGCCACCATAAACCAGTAAAAAAATACAAGTAGGTAATCATAATCATGGATAAAAATGTCTGCACACTGTGAGGAATCGCATCCAAGACCATCGGAAGTATAGCAGTGTACTAAACGGCTAGACTAGCAAAGCCAATTTTAGAGTAAATTTTTTATATAATTGAATAGCAAAGAAGCATGATGGAAATAAATAAATATTAGCTATATCGAATATTGATAGTCAAACAATCAAATATCATATCTACCTACATAATCTATATGTTATTTTTAATGATACTGACGAATGGTTATAATGCATTTACGAAAACAGGAAATCATAGATATTTTGTGAAAATTATATTTACAAATGTACCTCGACTAGATAGATAAGAATCTATTCAAATCTATACGAATAAAAAAAAACTGTAATCACAAATTAAGAGTTTGAATAATTTTTTTAATTTTAATAAATATCTAAATGCATATGACAGTATATACGGGACTTAGGTACATGAAACATTTTATTGAAATAATTTTTACCTGTCTGACTGTTTGTTTGTTCTTGCTTATCCCTGAAACACTTTACCGGTTTTGACGGGACTTTTACTCGCAGATAGCTAATGTTATTAGCATTAACTTTGGCTATTTTTATTTTAGAAATTTTATTTATTGTATTAAAATATAATAAGTTTCACGAGAACGAAGGCGCGTGTAACAGCTAAGTAGTAAATATCAATGCATCCTGTAAAACTTAGAAACTGAATCTCTAATCTCTCATCTGAAAATGGAAAAATAAGCACACTTAATTTAAAATTATTAAAACCCCAAAACTCAATATTTTGTTTACGAGTTATTACTCGTTAATTTACATACGTTTTTGATTAACACAGCAATGTCATTCCAGGTAATTCCTATAATATATCTTATTAATATTATAAACGCGAAAGTTTGTTACTTTTTCACACAAAAACTACCTAACGGATTTTTGTGAAACTTTTCAGTAATATAGCTTATACATTAAAATCGGCTATAAATTTATAGGCACAGTTAGTATAAAATAAATTAGCTCTGACTACCCCGTCTGTGATTATAGTCGTCGATATATTAATAAATAAGATCACCTCATTACTCAATTACCGACAAATGACAGAAACATCTTTCAAGACTAAAGTCATTCTACATTAAAGTAAACAAACCGAAATCATATAAAACTTGTTAGAATTATTTTCATCAAAATGCCAAAAAGTACTATAGAATTCGCAAAATCTGGTGACAACAGGGATAAGAGCAGTAGTCGCAGTTCCACCAGGGCACCACTCCATTTCGCTGTCCACAAGCCTGGCTGCCACTTCGAGAGCTGCTGTGGCATTTGTAATTTATTCCCTGGTGTTCTTATGATTGCCTTCTGTCAAATCTTAGTTGGATCTATTCTCCTGACTCTAATTTTGACTCACGGAAAGCAGTATGACGATATGCATCAGACCACAAATTCTCAATGTAAGAAATTTCAATAATCCATTTTTTTATTCTGATGAAGACCCGGATATTAATTTCCGGAATACTATATAATTACACACAATTTTTTTTTAATTTACGTGATACAAAACTAATAAATTTCAACTAAAATAATTCATATATGAGAAACAAAAACTTTCTACTCTTTTTAACGAAAATTGCGCGGACGGAAGAGTATGAAATCTTACACATTTATAGTTTACTAGCTGTCCCGGCAAACGTTGTTTTACCTTAAAATAAAAAAAAAATTAGGGGTGGACTACCCCTGACATTTAGGGGGATGAAAAATAGATCTTGGCCGATTCTCAGACCTACTCAATACGCTCACAAAATTTCATGAGAATCGGTCAAGTCGTTTCGGAGAAGTATGGGAACGAAAACTGTGACACGAGAATTTTATAAATAAGATATAGAGAATAAGGCAGAATGTTAATGGTATGTAGTATTTTTTTTTGTTATTGAATTCGCAAACAAACAGACGGCCGACCTGTAAGTGGTAACCGTTGTCTATTTACAAGAACTGCACTACGGATATCACTTTATTGTGTGACACCTGTGATACCACTTATGCGTTGCCATTACAAAGGACTAAGATGCCTCTTATATTCTCCTATAATTTCACTGGTTAATCTGCATCCCACAACCAAAATCGTTTACAAAACAAGCTGCTTGGCGGCTGAAAAGGGTGAGATCGAAGTGTCCTCGCAGATGACTATTGCAAACCTTTATATAAATGACTTCATATTGGAAATTTTTACGTATAGTTGGTTATTACTAATACATAATTGCTGTAATTATATTTAATATTGGATGGGCTCCATAATCCAGCGATTTAACGCACCGCTTTACTTCAGTTGTCAGCGCGTGCGATTCCTCGCAAGGTACGAACATTTGTATTCATGGGTAGTGAATTAAGAATCACTTTCACTTACAAAAAGTTACATTAGAGGTGAACCGTAATTTACACTACACGTTAGTTGCTGATGGAAGGGATCGATGAAGTGACACATTATGTGATAAGGAATGAGAGGAATCAGAAATTTCAAAGGGTTTTGGGCCATTGTCAGGTGCTCAAACCTAGAGCACTGCGACCTACATAGATATAATATATCTTGTGCTCGCCCTTTTTCAGAGTTCACTACTTAGCCCCATCAGGGACACGAATTGAAGGATATTCTTAGCAGCGATGGTTTTTATCTCCTCAGGGGTGTACTTTCTAAAGGATATATTTCCTTTATGCATGTGTGGGCTACAACCACATAGGATGTGTAGTGGCGTTTCCTCTTCAGTTGGGCAAAAACTTTAGATTTCAGATCTACATTTTATTAATATTTTAAAAGAAAATAAGACTATTTCGAAACTACTGTTTGTTTAGATTTTGTCCATCTTAGAAGACCTTTCAGTTTGTATTTTTCTTCTCAGTTATGAGCGTGGCCACCGGCGCTGTGCTGAGCGGCGTCACCGGCGCTGGGATATTGCTGCTCATTGTAGCTCTCACTGAAAACTGTCGTGCTATGCTGGTAAGTCAACTATATTTTTGTTTCTTCTACATATTTGTGAAGTACAGGTAATGTTATTATTAAAAATATGATGAAATATGTATCAATACATAAAAAACCATCGCTCCTAAGAATATCCTTCAATTCTTGTCCCTGACGGGTGTAGGTACTTTGAAAAAACGAACTTTGAAAAAGGGCGAGCACAATAAATCTATGTAGGTCGCAGTGCTGCAGGTGCTACAAACATCTGATAATAGCCCAAACAACCCAATAAAAAAAAAATTAAAAAAAAGCAATACATATATGTATATAAAAAATCTTGACGTATTTACATGGGAGTTTTTTTATTTTTCTGACATTTATAATACAGATTATAGCTAAGAATAAACTAGAATCTTACGAGTTCCTTTCTTAAGTAACTATTGTACAACTTCACATTTTGAAGATCTTATGTAAAAACAAACTACCATATTCATAAGAGTGGAAAAGGTAGATGAATAACAAGAAATATTGTTTTATGTATATGTACGTATAGTCATAACATTTCAAACAAATAAAGTCTTATTCATATTCAATATATGTGACTGATAATGTCGAAGGCAAAGCAAACAAGAACCGCGCCTAAACATTATGCTCATATTTTGCGTGGGATCCATCAACACAAATATTTTGGTTTACAATATATCATCCCAAAAAGGGTAGGGCAGACAGAGATAGAAAATAATATGCTTTATTTGCACTACGTTTGGAAAGTGACAAATATTGAACGTTTATATTTTTAAGGGTTGGTCGTATGCTTCTAAATATAGAAGTAGGTATATATTTCTAAGTGTCATAATAGTGAGTGTTTAAAAGAGATATATGTAATAACTAGCAGTTCCCGCGACTTCATCCGCGTGGAATTTAACTTGATTTTCTAAAATAAAAGTAGCCTAAAGAAATAAAAATTATTTTGTTCGTCTTAATTTATTTGTTCCATTAGGTACTGATAGGTTCAAACTAATACATTTACAGGATGATGTATTAGTTTCCCGTCAACATCCCGTATTTTATCCCCATGGAGGTTCAATTTATCAAAATCCTTTCTTAGGGGATGCCTACGTCATAGTAGCTTTATACATGCAAAGTCTCAGCCTGATCGGTTTAAAATCGATAAAGTTTCATACAAATCTTCATCCCCCATTTTATCCCCTTGGGGGTAGAATTAATCAAAATCCTTTCTTAGCGGATGCCTACGTCGTAACATCTACCTGCACGCCAAATTTCAGTCCGATCCGTCTAGTAGTTTCGGCTGTGCGTTGATAGATCACTATGTCAGTCACCTTTCAATATTATTATATATAACTATTTATTGTTATATATAATAAATGTGTAAGACTAATTCATTAGCATATTCATTTAAAGTTCTTTTTTTATATAAATTTTTTTTTGTACACAATAATATGCATAAGAAATATTTACAAAAAGAACTTAATATAAATATGCTAACAAAAGGCGGGCGGCGGCCTTTATCACTCAAGGCAATCTCTTACAATTACATTAATTCGACTGTAGTAAGAACTGGTCTGCTCTAATGACTAGTAACGACTGATTTACTCTTATTCAGTTAGTCAACCCCAGTTACTAATTTGATTGTATATTTAGATATTATTATATCGGTCTAGATGGCTCTGTGTGAATTGTCCTGAGATTATTATTATTATTATTGTGACTCCAATGAATTAGTGCTAGTTGGTATTGTATTCACATATTTCAACTTAAAGTTATAACTAAATTATTTAAAAGAGCAGCGCCCAAGTTTCTTGCTCGTTGTTCTTGTGATGGATCTTTCATGTCATCCCTCTTATGATGTAATTTTGCTACCTAAGCTTATAAAGAAAGCTGCTTGTCAACTGAAATTAATATTACAAAATCTCAAATAAAACTAAAGTATAGTAAACAATCTTCTGATTTGTCGCATAATACCTATTTACAAAATCTCGAATCTAAAATATAGTAAACAATCTGTATATTCTGCTTTGTAGCATTATTATGCTACAAAGCAGAATATACAGACAACGTTGCGGACAATGCAACACTGACTATTGGCAGTGTTGCATTGTCCGCAACGTTGACAGTTGATAATGCTTCTAACTACCCCCTTAGATATTATATAATAATAATAATAATAATCTCAGGACAATTCACACAGCGTCCTCTAGAACCCAGTTAAGCTAGCTAAAGCTTGTGTTGTGGGTACTAGATAGTTACCTAGTACTGTAACACAAGCTGTATTTACAAAAAAATAAATCTATGTTTGTATCAATTGATACAAATACGCAGATATATATTTTTTCCGTAAATACATACATATTATACATAGAAAACACCCAGACCGACATAAAAAATCATACTCATAATGTATGTGCCGTGCGAGGAATCGAACCCGCACCATCGGAAGTAAGGCGGTGTGTTAAACCACTCGACCACCGAGGGGACGTTAATATATATTTTAGTCATAATGGTGTTATTATATTTACAGATAATCAATATTTTCAGGTGTACTTGTTGGTGGCTACCCTCGTCTGGATTGGAGTATTTTCTCTGGCCGTCACAAAAATTGGACGTGCTTGCGTTCGATTTAAAGACGGTATGATGCTACATATTAAATCTTCTTACATTTTACATATAAATTGTCTGGTAATGTAGGTCGTAAATGAATGCACCTATTTAGATGCAGTTGTTTTTGTTTGAAAGTTGACGTGATCGTATATGTACGCTACGTGATGCTATAAGTTATGAAGATGCAGGCGTTAATTAAACATTATTTAAAATTGATTTTCTCTGCTACAAAAATTAATCAATCACTAGAACGGATAAAATGATAATAAAGATATCAAAAAATAACATGAGAAACAATAAAATCACTAACGTAAATATTTGCATGAGTTGTTTTAATTATTTCTTTGTATCAGGTACTTTACGTGTTTAATTTAATTACTGGTATTGATTAAAAATTGATTTGATTTAAAAATACTGTTCAATTTAATGTAATTTTGAACAATATAGTACTATGGGTGCTACCGCTAACCGCCAGACCACCGAGGCCGTCTAATATTGGTGATTTCCTCGAGTTTCGCTAATTGGTGTCATACTAATTAGATGCTTTGTTAAAACAAGAACCACCTATAGAGTGGGTATTATTTATAACTTCCTATTTGTATTGTACACCAATTGTACAATCATTGAGATTGTATCAAATTTCGCCAATTTCAAATTGCTCCTAATCCCTAATGAAAGAACGAAAAACGTTCACTCTGAAACTATACTCCGTCAGAGTGATATTACGAGTATTTTGAAGTTAATGAATACCTGAATTATTGATTCAAACATTAATAATGCTAACAAAATTTCTTAATTACGTTTTCATTTATTAATTCAGTTCGAAAAGACTCCAATGGGGTTTGAAGAGTTTATATTTGTTTATAAAACCTTATTTAAGTTGAACAAACGAGATACTTTCAGTTACTGTGTTCCATTCTAATATTTAGTGGTTTGGTTGGTGGTCGGCAAAAATTTTTAGGTGGGATCCGGATAGTGTGGCAAAATTTTAACGAGACCCTAAATAAAACAACTGATACTAATTAAATGCTACCTATTTATTATATTAGTTAAAAATCAAATTCTGAATTACAAACATAAGTCCTAAAAATAATCTTTGAGAAAGATAATATTTGGGGTTCCGAGATTCTACTTAGCTCTTGGGACAAGATGACGCTGTGTGAATTATCCAGAGTAATTCTGATTATTTAAATGACTATTTTAAAGAGTTAGTCTTCCAGAATGCGAACGCACAAGTGGTCAAATGCGTCACCTAATGATGTGATTTCAGTGGTACTGTTGTATGTATATAGGCGGTTGCAACTTACAATCATCGCGCAATTTCGTTTGCGTCACATTTTTCCCGTTTCTGCTACATTTTTCATTGCAGCTCCACTGCTATTGGTCCTATCGTTATGTTACATAATCTATGACATTTACAAATAACGTGGCTTTCTATTAGTACAAGAATTTTCAAAATCGGTTCATTATATCCATAGATTACCCCTACAAACTGACAAACTTTACCACTTTATAATTATTATTGTATACTTTACGGAAGGTTTCCTATTTAATATTTGTTCTACTACTTTATTCTACATTTATTCAACTATCTATATATACTAATGTATTGATAGTTAAATAGTAAACCTTCCGAAAAGTATCAAAATCGCCAGTAATCTACACTAAAAGCATCGCGTCTACTCTATCCCTAAGTATAACCGTTTTATTACAATTTTTGTCGCCTCAGTGGTAGGATTTTCCTACTGATTAAATTCATTATGAATCCCAAGATAGCATAAAGCTGGAGTCTGATATTAAGCGGATTTTAATTGGCATTGGCACTGAGGTATGACATTTCTGGCTTAATTATTTTCTACCTTGAATTACGCCCAAGAGGTGGTAATTTCAAAACTAACCAACAAAAAATAATTGTGTTAATTTATATTTCTGACTGACTCTCCTATGAGGTAAACATCGATATTAAACCAATAATAATCCGATAGACAGGCTTGCCTTGCCAAGTTGGATTCAAATAAACCCAACGAAGTGGAAAAGGAAGTGGAAGGACGTGTCAAGTATGTTGATAATTGACAATGAATCTGGCTACCCCATCAAAGACAACAGTTATGACGTTATGTTATCTTAATTAGCATTACATCTGACACCTTTTGTGGTCAATTACCGTACAATTAAGCGTCGATATTAACAATAGTTTGTGACATGCGCCGTTGATCTAATTACTATAATTATTGTTAACTACCAGGCCACCACTCCCAGCATGGCTCGAGTATTTCAGTTAATGTACACAAAAGCTTATTATTTTTACACCTAAACGCTCAATCACTCTGTTGCCGAATGAAATGAAAATTAATTGAGTAGTTTTGTAATTATCATTGAGCATATGAACAGACGCGGTGAGGGATTTTGTTTTATAATAGATTTAGTCAAATTTATGATTATTATTTAGTACAATTATAATTTGATGATGTTTCATCATCAACTCAGCCCGGAAGACGTCCACTGCTGAACAAAGGCCTCCCCCAAAGATCTCTACGACGATCGGTCCTGCGCTGCTCGCATCCAATGCCTTCCAGCGATCTTGACCAGAACGTCGGTCCACCTTGCTAGAGGCCTTCTCACGCTGCGTCTTCCAGTCCGCGGTCGCCACTCGAGGACTTTACTGCCCCAACGGCCATCTGTCCTACGAGCTGTGTTCCCAGCCCATTGACATGATGTTTAGCCAACATCAATTGCAATATCTGTCTATAATTGTATCATATTGTGTAGAAAATTAATATTTCTACATATATAGAATTAATAACACTAGAAACAATCGAAATACAAAAAACGTCCAGACACCTCCTTTTTAGCAGTCATTGCAGAGAGGAGACGTATGTTTGCCCTTGTTATTACTCTAAATATTTTTAACCTAAAATAATAGTAGAAACAAAGAAGGTGAGTTTTACGCTCACTGATGCCAGTTTTTTATTCAAGGATCGCTTATCGCTCTTACACCGACCACAGCTTTAGCTTTCAAACAACATTTGTAGGTTTACAATTTCACAATAATGACAATCTACCAACTGGATGATGAACAGTTGAACTTATTATTCCTGGCTCCTAATTTTGTAGTGCCATGAAAATTATGCGTTTCAGGTTGAACAAAAGAAATTCTGATTGTGTTTCTAGAGGCTACATAAAATTTGTTTTCTATGAATTAATAATTAATTATTAGCGTTCATTAGCAAGGTCTCGCTATTTCTTCAATATTAGACACACCAATTTACTTCTGATGATCGCGGTTCGATTCTTCGCACCATACAAACATTTATTTTCTAGAGTATGATTGTTTGTATTGGTCTGGGTATTCTCTATATATATTACAGAAAAATGTATTTATATATTTCTATTAGTTGCTTACCCACAACACAAGCTTAGCTTAGGACTAGATGGCGCTGCGTGAATCTGTTATTTTTTTATGTAATTAGAGTAATAAACAAGTGCTTAGATCTTATATTATACCTCTAAAATTAGGAAATACAGATCCTAGAAGTGACGATATTGTTTAATATAATTCGTACCGGCTTTAAAAAAATTAAGAGATAATGAATTCAACACTACTTTTTATGTGTGTTCAAAACCTTTTATAGCTGAAACGATGATTATATATTTATTGAATATTTTATTTTTTTCTTCCATATAAAATTAATAACTCTAAACCTAGTAATTTTTGCGTTAATAAAGCAATAATAATAATAATCATCATCATTTATTCAGCATAAAAAAGAGTACAGAGTAAAAAAGAAAACTAAAAAACTAATAATCGTCTATGCTGAAAAGGCTTCCACTCAGCTGGTGCCGCAGCGTGTCACTACAGCGCTGATTTTCAGTGGAGCCACTTGAAAAAAAGAAATAGCATTCGTGATGAATTTAAATATATAAAATGAAGAATCAGTTAAATGGATGAATTATAAGTATGTGTGATAAATAGAAGAAAAATATATAAGGATAAAAAAGTGTTGATAGAAAGACTTTTGTGTAATATAATATAGCATGATATATTTATTTATTTAATCAATATATATAACTACTGTATTTATCTGCCACGTTTAAGATTTTTGTACTTTTAGTAAATATTTTTTAAAATGATGTCATATAGCCATAGAGTCGGTTTTTTCCTGAATAAGCGTATATTGTTTTTATTTTTACAGCTTCCAAAATTAAGGACGACCAGCATCGCTTAGCTAACTTGGCATGTGTCAGCGGATTATTCACTTTCTTAGGAGCAGGTAATGGTTTTAATTTATCTATGATTTATCATATTTCCGGTGGTTGTCAATTTTTTAAAAAATTTCTATTTTATCAACACGTTTACGATCCTTGTCATTCTCAAGATCTCTTAAAAGGTGACTTGTAGAACAATGTAGAAATCTATTTAATTTAATCTTCGCCCATCACCATATACCGAAGATTTTGTAAAAAATCATCTGCGTGAGTAACTCAGTCCATTTCAGCCAAGTTACTTGTTGCTTTGTAAACTGTGTTTCATTTGAGGCACATATATGAATGAATTAAAAAATTACAAAAGAAAACCCAAACTATTAAATATATAGTTGGTTGAATGACAACTTAAATCGGACATTATTGTTTATCAAACTCATAAAATATCTTTATTCATGTAGGTCTATTACAGACTCTTATGATATGCCAAGTCTACCGTCAGTTCGGAATGATTTCGAGATGAGAACAAGTGACAAGAAACTCAGCTCGTATTCTTTTTAAATGAGCTTGTACATAAAGAAATTTTATTCAGTTTATTTGGACGGCACCGCTGGCCTAGCTGTTTAGCGCATCTCTTTACTTCAAATTATCACGGGTTCGAGTCCTCGTACGGTGCAAACATTTGTATTATGTGTACGATTGTTTGTCGGTCTGTAAAAAAACAAACGCATTTATATTAGTTATCTAGTATCATAAGCTCTGCTTACCTTGGGACCAGATAGCGCCGTGTGAATTGTCATAATATACTATGTACATGTGACCTATCTATCAATTGCTACAGCCACTGATCCACATAGAGACGTCATATATTAAAACCGCTCTATGCCTACAGTAACTGTTTAATTTGAAATCAAACATCCAACTAATGAATTGCCGATATCCAATATGTAGTTATCATTTCATTAAAATTGGTTGAAGTGTTGAACAAATCTGTTACATTTATTACTAGTAACAATCTATACAAATAAATAAAATTTAAGTGTCTATTTGTAATTTTAAATAGACAACTTTCCACTAAATGCATATGAAAGTATATATGGCACTTATAAATTAAATTTTGTCTGTTTTGTTCTTGCACTGTTTATTATTGTCATATTAATTAATACAAATGGTTGTCCTAAACCGCTAGACCACCGATGGTCGAATCCGATTTTGCTTAAACTTTAGTATTTATTAGTATGGCTGTTTGTATCGATCTGGACGTTTTTTATGTGTAATATGTGTCTTTACAAAAAATATATATTTATATGTATATATATGTATTTATATGGGTTGTCTAGTACCCATAACACAAGATCTGCTTACCGTGGGACTAGATGGCGCTGTGTTAATTGTCCAGGGTTATTTATTTATTTATATAAATTACATGTATTACTACAAATATCAAAGTCTGTTTGTTTAGTGATGGCTCTACCGGTAATCATGAAATTTAACAATAACTAGTGTCGGAATAAAGCAGACGATTTATTATTTTTCTCTCAGTAAATCAATATGGAATCATGCGGAGGAAGCCGCGGTACAGCCAGTTATCGATAAATCTATCAGATGGGCTTAGGTGCACAGATAATAAATTACAGATAACCACAAAATCTCTATCCGAATTCATCCGTATTTTCTCAGAGAAAAGGGTCATAGAGCTTTTTTTTATTATTCAGTGTTCCTCCCAAGTTATGCAAATGACATCTGTGGATACAATTGACCATTCTCGGTTTTATTTTGTTTATTTATTTCAGGCTACTAGGCCCATATTATAAATACCTGATAGACTAACATACATAAATAATACTGTACTCGCAACTTCGTCCGCGTGGAATTTAACTTTATTTTTCTAAAATACAAGAATTATCTATAATAAAGCCTAAGTTACTCCTTAATATATCAGCTACCTGACAAAAAAAGTCCCGTCAAAATTGGTCCAGCCATTTCAGAGATTGGCCGGAACAAACAGACTGACAAAAATTGTAAAAAATATATATTCATATGCATGTAGTAAAAAACGATTATTTCAATATTACAAACAGACACTCCAATTTTATTTATATGTATAGATTATAAAATTAAGATATTAAAATTATATAGGTATATATATATATATATATACTATATACTTTATATTATTGTTAAAAATTCATGGAAGAAACCATTAGTTAACTTCTTCTCTCACTTCAAAGTATATTGCCTACTTTTTACGTAAAAATACTTGTAACATAAACGTTATTAACACTTTTACGTGAATTTCACTATAATTAAATGTTACATTTAAACCTTTAAAGTATTTATAAAAAGCCTGCATCATTTCAATGATTGACCGATTATAATTTTAAAGCAAGAAACTGGAAACTTATTTGGCTGTTAATTAAATATAAATAAAAAAAAGGTTATAAGGGGTCGAAAGGGGAGATGAAGAGTTGTATAGAATAGATTAAATATAAATAAATATGACATCCAAACTTTGTAAAAATATTACCTTTAAGTGGTGGTAATATAAAATAGATGCAAGTTGATATGGAAAATCATTTTTGAAGCTAGAACGATGAAACTTTTTTCATTGCCTTTTTGGGTTAGATTATTATTTTTATCTTTATTTGGTCGAGATCACTATAACACGCGAACGAAGTCGCAGGCACAGCTAGTTACATATTTTTTTAATTATTTGAAAGAGCACACATTTCAAAATGGCTTTCGATTTAATTTAATCCCGCGCCCGCTAAACGGAACGTGGCTGCAAATAATTTATTTTTAATCCACTTAAATGCATACAAACGAAAACCACTCACGCCGACGCTGCCAGTACTCAAACAGATACATTTTATACTGATTAATGAAAATTTTTATCTATTACTTTTTTTTTAATATAAATGTAAGTTTCTGCTTTTACAAAGTACGCCGTATATTTATTGCAGTATCACAAAAATATAGAGCTCATGCATACAGAGTACATAAATTGTTACAATTCTTTTGTAACGCCCTGAAAGGGCATAGAAACCTAACAAATTTATAATTTTGTATGTTAAACTTTAAATTTTTTGATTATTTTATATCAAAACTGGCTAACATTTTCTACAATTTATTTATGTCTGCCTATTTGTTCAGGCTAATCTCTGAAATTGCTGGACCGATTTTGACGGGACTTTTATTGGCAGGTAATTGATGTAATAAGGAGTAATTTAGGCTACTATTATTTTAGAAAAAGAAAGTTAAATTCCACGCGGACACAGTCGCGGGTATAGCTAGTCATATATATATCATTCTATATATCTGACCCGCAACTTCGTCTGCATCACACTTACTTGACATTTATCATTATATTTCGCCCAAATTACATAATGTCTTTTTAAATTATGGCCTATGTGTTATTCTGATCTAAGTATATCGAATACTACTGTAAAGTTTCATCAAAATCTTTCAGTAGTTTTTGCGTGAAAGAGTCACAAACATCCACCCATACACACAAACTTTCGCGTTTATAATATTAATAAGATAATCATATAATTAATTGTTTCAGGTGTGTATTTCTTTTCGTTCCTGGTAGTATTCAGTTTCTACCACTACCGTTACGTGAGGCGCGCCATCTTGCTTCACGAGGCCGAGTGCGAGTGATATTATAATACATTTCTTGTTCAATTATTTGCAAACATTATAATATATATTACATTTTGTTTAGTCTTTATTTCAAACCATTTTTTTTATTCTACGATGGTAGCAAACAAGCATACGGCCAATTTGATGGTAAATGGTTACCGTAGCCTATGGACGCCTGAAATTTCAGGGGTATCACGTGCGCGTTGCCGACTCTTAAAAAACCTTAATATACCCTCTTGAAAAACCCCATGCTGTAGTCTCGTGAGAAAAGGAAGGCAGGAAGTTCATTCCACAATCTAAGTGTACGCGGGAGGAAACTCCTCTGGAACCGCATTGTCCGAGACCACTTAGGTTCCAATGTGTGGGAATGAGTTCCCTGTCGATAGCATTTATAAGCAACCATCTTAACATAATTCTTTATTAATACTAATTATTATTGTATAGTGTCATTTTGTGTGTGTAAAAATTAAGCTATGCGTGCTGTGTCTACATCTAATAGGATGTAATACTTAAGTAGTTTATTTTATCTGTGTAAAGTTATATACTCTGTAAAACATCTAGGTCTGTAGACCTAATAAATAAAAAAAAACTTGTACCGATTTAAGTCAATACGGGGGGGGGCAATAGTACAATAGTAAATTTTTTCGATTAGTTTTTGCTTTCTATTGAAGTCTGTTGTTAAATTAGTTTTTGTTATAATAAGCCTGGACTACGCTAAGCAAGGCTTATGTTATGAGTACTAAGTAACTTACAAATATTTATATACATTTTTTTGTAAATACTTAATTCTCGCGCCATCTTGTCACAGTTAAGCAGAGCTTGTGTTATAGGTACTAAACAACGGATACAAATACCCAAATACGTTTCTTTTTTGTTAGTACATACATTATAGACATAGAAAAAAGCCAATAGAAAAAAAAATATGGCCCAGCATCGGGGTAGGGCTGTATGTTTTTACAAATAGATCTATTTATTCTTTGTGTCCCTTATTGCGCGAGACCCTTCTTTCTGTTACGCTAATATACTTACTGTGTTCTTTATACTGTATTGATATGTAATTTACTGCGATAATTTAGGAAAATCCTATGAAATTACAACAGGGGGCCAAATAAGTAATCACCGATTGCACATAGACGGCCTCGATGGTCTAATGGTTTAGCTCGCCGCTTTACTTCCGATGGTCGCGGGTTCGATTCCTCGCACGGTACAAACATTTGTATTTTTGAATATGATTGTTTGTATTGGTCTGGATGCATGGATATATTTTATGTATATTTAAAAAAAATATATATCTATGTATTTATATCGATTGTCTAGGACCCATATCACATGCTCTACTTAGCTTGGGACTAGATGATGTGTAAATTGCCTAAGATTTCCCGCTAGTTCGTCTGCTTTTTTGAGATAAGACATCCATGCTATTTGTCAAGTTTCATTACGACATTCATTACATTAGTTGAGCCGTTCAGCCTTAAAAAAGTAATAAACCAATAGACTATTAATAGAATATTAATAGAGATATATAATAGAATAATATAATAATAATAATAATAAATAATATCCCGTCCTCGCTACTAGTTACTAGCTTAAGCTGTGAAAAAGAGAATAATAATAATATAATAATAATAATAAGGATGGCACCGAGGACATCTGTCGGGCATGTCGCCATCCCGGAGAGTCACTCAGACATGTGCTCCTCTCCAACACTGAGTACTTGCACAGACACAACCAGGTAGCCAAAATACTCCATCAAGATAGAAGTACGGCCTCACGAATGAGAGGTTGCCGTTTAAGTAAGCCCCAGCCGGTCCTCGAAAAATAATAATAATCAAATAATGGATCGGGCACTTTCGTCCATCACCATACTACGACGAGAACCTCGTGAAAGCCGAAACTGAGAAAAAGAGAAAGTATCTCGACCTGGCTCACGAGGTGACCGAAATGTGGGGGGTGATGTCCACCGAAATCATTCCAATCGTTATGTCGGTGAACGGTCTTATCCCAACCAGTCTGGAATAACATCTCAGAAAAGATGCAGAAAGCGGTAATAATAATAATATAATAATAATAATAATAATAAGCCGAAACTGAGAAAAAGAGAAAATATCTCGACCTGGCTCACGAGGTGACCGAAATGTGGGGGGTGATGTCCACCAAAATCATTCCAATCGTTATGTCGGTGAACGGTCTTATCCCAACCAGTCTGGAACAATAAGTACACACACACTCACTCGATGTTTTAAAATACAAAATATATATATTTACTTTTTTTTACCCCAAACTTGCTTTGAAATGCTATCTACTAATAAATCGGGATTTCGTTTTAAACCGCTCTGGAAGGCAAAAGTAATGGTTATTTTATCAATACAAGAAAATGCGGATTACAAGGGGTGCGTGCGGGGTGAGAGTCACAAATCTTTATCGAAAGTCCCCTATTGTGATTTATGGGGGACCAGCCGAGGTCACCCGACTCACAGTAAGTGTATTTGAGATTTTTTTATAGTAAATATTAGTATTTTAAATGTAATATAGACGTAAAACATGTTTTATATATTTAACGTACAGACAGATGAGACAACAGACACACAGAAATGTATATGTGTGTGTATAAAACAAGACACCAAAAAGAAAATAAATTTTAAAATTTTCATAGAAACTGCGCAGTCCCATGATCACTTCAGCATGAAAAACTAAAGAAATATTTTTATTCTCTGTATACATTTCTACCCTGTACAAAGTAGCCTGTATCCTATTACAGCTTCGCAAGATGTCTTTTAGCTGAAGAATAAGGCAATGGAATAACTTAGTACAAAGGTATAGTATATATATATCTAAATATATATAACTCAAAGATGACTGACATAGTGATCTATCAAAGCACAGGTCAAACCACTGGACGGATCGGGTTGAAATTTGGCATGCAGGTAGACTTTATGACGTAGGCATCTGCTAAGAAAGGATTTTGATTAATTCTACCCCCAAAGTGATAAAATAGGGGATGAAAGTTTGTATGAAACTTTGTCAATTTTAAACCGACCAGGCTGAGATTTTGCATGCATAAAGTTACTATTACGTAGGTATCCTCTAAGAAAAATTTTGATAAATTCCATCCCTAAGGGAATAAATTAACGCGAGCGAAGCCGCGGGCAAAAGCTAGTATAATATATACATTTTATTTATCCAATTGGCAATGTATGTGTGATAAGTACTTTGAGAATGACATGATAACGTGATTTCCGTGGTGCTCTTCATGTATTCACAGCCTTAGTGGTCTAGCTGTTTAGCACACCGGCTTGCTTTCAATGGTCGCGGGTTGATATCCTCGTACAATACAAACATTAGTATTCATGAGTATGCTTGTTTGTATCAATTTAAGTGATTTCTATATATAATATGTATACAAAAAAATGTAACCATGTATTTATAACAAAGACAATAAATTCACAAAAACTGCTAAACCGATTTTGATGAAACTTTACAGTAATATAGCTTATGCATCACAATAACATAAAGGCTATATTTTTTATTGAAGTTTCCGCGGCCATAACCGCGGTTGTAAACCAAAGTCGCTATCACTGTCTGTACGTCCCTACGTATGCTTAAATTTTTAAAGCTACGCAACGGATTTTGACGTGATTTTTTTTTAATAGATAGAGTGATTCAAGCGGAAAGTTTATATGTATAATACGTGTACACCCGGGCGAAGCCGGGCGAATAGCTAGTTACCTATAAATCAGGAAACATTTTCAAGCATTAATCCTACTAAATATTCCGGGAGCGAAGACAGTAGCCCATAATTGAGGTTTATTGCGAATACCAAGGTATTGGACGGTGCTGTTAGAATTAGATTATCCTTCGATAGATTGTTAACGGTGTCATTACTATTAATAGTGCAAGAAGGATAAGTGGATGACACTATTATGATGAATTGTGATTGCGTAGTTTGCAGCAGTTGTCGAAAATCTATTTATTGTCCATAAAAGGACGTAGCGCGGTGGTTATTCTGACCACATAGGTATGTTGTGATGAAGTGTCGCTACTTAATATATTATATATTGTAATATGAGTATACCGATAGTTGTACTATTTATTGTACACTAGCTGTACCCGCGACTTTGTCCGCGTGGAATTTAACTTTATTTTTCTAAAATAAAAGTAGACTAAGTAACTCCTTATTACATCAGCTACTTGCCAATAAAAGTCCCGTCAGAATCGGTCCAGCCATTTCAGAGATTAACCAGAACAAACAGACAGACAGACAAAAAGTGTAAAAAATGTTATTTTGGTGTATATACCATATTTATATAGTAAAAAACGGTTATTTCAATATTACTAACAGACACTCCAATTTTATTTATATGTATAGATTAGTAAGTTTATTGGTAGGTCTTTTATGGTAATAGGTATAAAAATTTACAAAAAGATACCAAAGGATATATTGGAATTACCCTTAAATAAATTCAAAACATCTGTTAAATCATATTTACTGAGCAAAGCCTGTTACTCACTAAACGATTACTTGAATGACGAGCGTGCATGGCAATAGTTTTCATGTTCGGGATTTTCATTTAATGTTGGACATAGACACCTATATATATACCTATACATTGTAAATAAACTGGACTTTAAAAAAGAAGTAATTCAATTGAGTTTCTTGCCAGTTCTTCTCAATTGGATCTATATACCGAACTGGACGGTAGAGAAAAAAAATATATAATGTAAAAACTTGACGTTCTAAGCGGCTAAAATGTTCTACAATAATAAATGATTTCTGAATTTAAAATTTTGAATTTAGTGTGCTACAAAGCTTATTAGAAACACGAGTACTCAACGCGGAGTCTTAATGCGGACTGTTCTACACTGAACTTAAATCTATGTTTGTAGAGATGAAAACTATTAGAAAGGTCTCAAGCGTTGACAGTAATATTACAAGTGTAGGCACGCATATAGTATAATATATATATAGTATAATATAATGTAAAAATTAATAATAATACTATTTATTGTGCATAAAACATATATTTACAAAAGAGGCAGATACATTA